TGGAACGAATGTTTGATAAATATAAGAAAGGTACCATGGATGTTATGTCTAAACTAAACAAGATTGGAAAATGAAGAGCTTCTAAACGGATACAATTCTTAGACAAATTGAAGCATACAACTCGGTATGGCAGTGAAAGTCACTTAATTAACACAGAATTTTTTTGATGAAAAGAGAAACTACTATTTAATMACTCTTTGTCAAAAGCCGATCAATGTCAAATATGTCAACATTTTATCACCGGTGGTCATCGTAAAAGTAATAAGTTTGTGGAAATGATTATGAGAACTTCATTGGCATCTCTCCATTGGCAAATAATTAAAGTCGGTATCAGTAAATATGAAAGTATTAAAGACTTTGTTAAACTTTCATTTGCATAAGTTAATGTACGCTGTTATATACAAAAGATGATGACGCGAGTGTCATATAAACAATACAATCACCCAATACAATGTAATTGTCCCTGTATATTGTTTGCCTGAAACACTCAGTAACACTTCGTCGTCCAAGACTTTCGAAAACACTCTTATCAGTTCGATTCTATCAGTTGAACAGCCTGACAAGGGATTCCTATCAGAGCGGGTCTTCTTGGCAAAGGTAAAGATCCTTTCTATCTAATGATTACATCAGGTAGCCTGTTTAAATAGTACTTTACTGAAATATGATAGATCTTTCGTGTTTGTTCTTTCATATTTTGATGTTCGATTTTTTTATCGACTTTAATTGTGTCAATTTGCGCACCTTGAATATAGGTAAAGAAAAGATTTTTTTCGTCGTACTTTGACAGGAGTTAATATGGGATCGTTGATAACTCATGTCTAAAACGGTCCGCTTTGAAACTATTGTCATGTCTTTACAAATTTCTTTTTGAATTATCCTATACAATTTTATCCACAATACTTGCAAGACAGAAAAGCAAACAGCTAATGTRAAATATTTACAACTCAGTTCAAAGTTAATTTCTCAAAAGTTCAATTTTACGTTAAGTGAGATTGGTAATGATTTGCGGCTGAGAAAGAATCATGTACTATCAATTGGATGGATGCTGAGTTGTGTAAAACATCATAGCAGGAAGTAAGCTTGATCACATCGTCTTCGCATGTGGTTAGTACTATGCAGTAGTTACTTCACTCAATGAAACATTTCAAGTTGTTAAACTTGGTGGTGTTTATCGAGGTGGTAACCCTATTTGCAGTCTTTGTTTAGTGTTCTTAAAATGTGTGAAGTAGTTTCATAGTATCATTACAGGTGGTTTCTGATAAGATCTAAGTTTCTTTCAAAGTTACTTCCAATAACCATCTCTATTTGCTCATACCGCACGACGGCACGAATGCAGTTTTACAACTGTGCATCGTTCGTTTTACAACTGTGCATATTTCGAACAGTACTCGATATATTGATAAGGTTTTGGAGTTGGAGTCTAAACTGACATATGTGGAAATGATGACCTACTTTGAACCCTTTTACGCGGTTGTACTACATCACACGTGGCGTTTAATATTGCAATCATAGTTACACTAGAACCATGAAAACTAACATCCATTTGAATAATAATATGTAAATTGTCTGCATCCATGTATATACAACACATAGTCCAATTATGCAAGTTTACTTTAAGCTAAAATCCAGTTCTTGAAATCTTACGTGAAGTTACAGTACATCATAGAAGATGCAAACAACTGCGTGATTTCGATTGTGAAAGCAGTTTTTCTTAAATAACAAGTTAGATCTTTGGCTTGCGTGCCATTAATAATTAAATGCTCTGTGTTGCGTGCACAGTAATTCAATAACTGACTAACCAAGACGATTAAACTTGTACTAACAACTCATATTAAAAGATATCTAAACGACAAATTAACTTTGAAAAAAAATGTTCAAAGTTAAGAAATTGAAGTCAGATTTAGTCGTTATGCGCTTACTGAAATTGGTTACATGTAATGGCAAGTCGAAGACCTTTGTCTATTGTTCCGTGTCTAAGAAACAATAAGCAAACTGTATCTATTTTTCTAATGCCAAAACCATGAGTTACAACTTCATGTCAAGTCAAAAGACAACAAATGTTCAGCCCATCAAAACGTTTACGACATTTATAATGACTTCAATAAAGATGTTATACAACAAACCGACACAAGTTTATTCAACACTATCATAAATACAGTAATKAATAATTTCGTGAAAASTTTAGCGCACACTAAAAGCGATACAAGAGTGTTATATAGAATTGATGTAAATCGCTTAAACACAGTAAGATGTCTTGTTAAAATTAACCACGCAGGTACCTCTAAGGCTAGTTAACTATTGACCAATAAGRAAAGCGCGTTATARGTTACCCGTTGAACCAGTTCTATTGACAAATCAAGAACAAAGCAAGGATTTTGACTGACCACCCATATTCTCGGTAGAGCCCCTGGAAAGCTTGGCGCCTCATAGTCTAAAACATTTCTGGGGTTGTTTTTTGAACTGGGTTGTGGGGGGTTGTGCAGTGAAGTCTGGAATTACTTGTAAATGACGCTTAAGATGTACTCTTTGCGCACGTGTGGCTTATCAAACAACCACTTTAACGTTCAAGATCTGTCATTACAAGACTGCTTTTGTCTCTTTCCTTTATTTTTTTTCCGACAAAATCGCGCTGAGACTTTTATACYCTTTCTGAATGGCGGTAATTACAGATTATAGATTCGCATCGACAAAGTAGCGATGGTTGGTCGTTTTTTATGAGAACAATTAAAAGGTGTGAAACACTTAACACGTCTTTACAATATTCACTGATTATATATATCTATCTATTAATGGCTGACATGTGTAATCAAAAAAAGCTAACAACTTTCTTTGAAAGACTTTCCAAGTCACTACGAGACACTATCACTAGCGACCTAGCCTGAATTGCTGAGATATTAACAAATTAAAATAAGGTTTTCTTTCAATGTATGAAGTTTGTTTTGCTACTTGTTTACTAACTCGAATCGACATTATTAACCAATAGTGAGTATGACCAAAATGCCATATTTTCACAGCATCTTCAGAAAAGCTTTACCTGTCTATAGTACACTCAAACATTGGTTWATACCTGTAAAATAATCAACACTAATTACTACTCAAATGGTGATTAGGCAATAGATAACAAAGGAATTACCATCATTTAAAACCACTATTTTGGTAAGATTATTTCATAGGACTGCTTGTACGATCTACTGTACACAGCGCAACCCCTCAGGTCGAGACGATTTYTCTTTTTTCGCTTCTCGTCTGAAGAGAAGAAATAAGTTATTTTGCCGGGAGTTCCTGTGCGAGAGTTTAAAGAAGTTCGAGTCTAGTTTCGTGTCAGTATCTTGTCGCTCAGTTAAGCAATCACTGCACTGCCAGCGAGAAAGGGTAGCAATGACAAGCTAATAGTTTAATATCTTTGACAAATAGCTTTCGCCGAGACTTCAAAAAATCTTGTAACAGCCATAAACTTTACAAATCTAAATCACTCCAACATAATGATTTTCGTACGTACAGGCCAGGGACTACCAAGAATAGTGAAAACTAGTTTCGTTTATTAAAACCTCTTCAGTTCACTATATGTTTTACAACAGTTAAATAGTTTAATAGTTGGTTAAGTAGATATGACAGTAGAGCTATATTACAGTTCTTTGAATAACAGCATAGGTGGAACAAGAAGATTCTCAACTATAGCCTATTTTTGAACTTTAATGCTATTTTTACCTAAAATAAGAAAGATCCATTCATTTCTACGGAAAACAAAAAASCTCATTAGCATCGAAGAGATTGTGTGAGGCATACTGTACTAAACCACATCATTGCCAGGGGGATGCCACATCATTGCCAGGGGGACTGGATCCATCTGATGAGTCTTTGATATTTGCTCACATGCTTGAGATGCTTATTAATTGTTTCCGGAACGATAATTTTAAGTATTTGAGCTCATGAGCAAATTTCATGATTGCAGTCACGAGGAGATCCACATTATTAAACCCGCTTTATATTAACTATGATCAGACTATTAATAAAATCATAAATGATATGATAATCCTATGCAGAGCTCATCCTGTGAAACAAAGTTATATAATAATATGTAATACATCGAAAAGAAAAACGCGCAAAATGAAGAGAAATAAAGTGTGTAAACCATTCTATATTTCTTATCAATCAGTAAGCATTATTAGAATGCATCTGTACAGATAATGAGTCGGCGAATGTACGTGTGTGAAAGTACTTTATCATAATCGTTTGTTACATTGACGTAAAGTGATAACAATGACCCCCTTGACACACGAGAATCTACTWTACGTGTGACGTTAACAAGAAGTATTTAACCTTGCTCAGTGATCAACTAATGACGATCAAAGCGAATCGGAAACTATCGTCTTTCTATGACTGCCCACAATCCTGTCGTCCAGTTAGTTTAGATAAGCATTCACGTCATTTGGCGTTTATTGTATCAGTATGGTATACCAAAACAATATCCCATTTGTTGGTGGTATCTGTTGTCAGCGGTAATACCAAAAGCAWGTGACATGTCTCTGGGTTCCCTGTGCCAGTTTGCATTTCATTCGTAATTGGTCCGTGTACACAAGAACCAAATTCTTATCTCTAAAATGTTTTACTGAGAAAATACACGARTTGTTTGTAAAGATCATGTCGCTTTTTCTCGCCGAAGGTTATAAAAATCTATTTTATTAGAAGTATTGCAACACACTGAGAATCTCATGTGTGAGAAAGACTGAGCAAGGGTTTTTTTTACTTTTTTGTGTGTGTAAAGAGAAACATAAAATGGACGATCACGTGAATAATGCCAGGTGATGTTAGGTTTCAGTCTTGATGTCTCCTCTCCTTGCAGGCCACATCTTAATAGTACAAGATCAATAAGATKTAGAAAAACGAAATGTAAAATTTGGAAATAAATGAAAGTTGAATTGAAGAAGAAACATAACGTGTTGTAAGGCTGGTATTCAAGACGCTTCGTATGCAAAGGTAACGGATAAACCTTGGTAAAGACGACTTTTTATAACTAATTAACGCTCGTTTTCCTTTTTCCAATTTTTTCACAATTCCTTATRYCTTTTTCTTATTGCTTTTCTAGCTATTTCACATTTGAGTATCTATTTCCCTTGGACTACTAGTTAAACATAATCGCTTTTGAAATGATAATGCAGTCATGCCGATAACGGTTTTACTAAGATAGATGACTTGCCCGAAATCATGTTAATTAGCTGCCGTAATAACTTATGTTCATTTGTAGAACGAGCTAATTTAAAAATGGACTGTTTTAAAAACCTTCGCCTTCCAGCTATTATGATGTATTTTACCAGCTGGAAAGGTTTCTTTCAATTAAATTGTGGACAAATTGCTCAACAATCACGTCTTTTAATTCAAATACGAGTAAATGACACCGTAAAAGAGAGTACCGACAGAACAAAGTAAATGAAGCATACACACTATTCACTAAGCAATAAAACACACTAACTGGGAGATGACTGTAAAACGGACTTACAAACACTTGACGATAATAATCAGACCTACYGCAAGTTTTAATATTGTGAACTGAGATCTCCACTTGAGTTTCAAACATTGACAAATATAATCTGACTAGACGAAATTCACACGRAAAACAAGGATACAAAATGAACAAACGCGCACCGAAATAGAACCAGAATCAATTTGCGAACCGTCTGCAGTATTACAATGTTTGACCGCGCGTGGGCACCACCAATGAAGCATCAGCCGCAGGACCGTTTAATAAAGAAACATAAAGAAAAACTCAACAGAAATGGATAAATATATTAGTCGACAAGAATGTTGCTAGCTGAATTCATCGTTTCCAAAGAGAATAAAAATGACGGAGTAATTTCAAAAAATTTAAATAAATTAATGCGCTGTTTCCAAATATGGATATCAGTTAGTAAATATTATATCCTTTCATGTTGTGTGTCTTACTRCAGAGTTACTCCTAATCGGCATTGATAGAGCTAATACTAGTTCTGTTATAAATAGAGAGGTTAACAGAATCGTCCATTTATGAATATAGAGAAACAAATTAGTTAAGAGGCCACCAGCAGTGAAAGCAAACTCAAAATATTAAACTCTCAATGGGAACATAATGAATATTTGTGATAAAAAGAAAGAAAGAAAAAAAAACCCTCTTAAAAAATAGAATTGTTTCTTTAGCACTTTCCATGATAGATGTACCTTTCAAATTGCAGAAAAATCCGCCATCTTGTAGGTTAGAGGATTCAGTTCTCGATACTTCTGGACGACAAGGAGTTTTATTTGAAGCAAGCCAGGTGTCATACTTAGTGGACATCAGTTAAACATTCAGTAAACTTTCATAAACCAATTAGATAGTCTGGCAACACGGAAGGAGAATAAACTAAGAGTCATTTTCTATATGAACACTATTTATATTGATTAACTAGCAACAAGTTAGGTGAAGTGTATTTTTATGAGTTCTATATCCTAGGTGATCTTTACATCCAAAGGGTTGAATTATATCTATTATAGGAAGTCGTGATGATATTTTTTGATTGTGCACGTGACCAGTGTCCTGCCAGAACCACTCAATAGAGTTTCCTATATAAAAGTAATGACAAAGCTCTTTGTCGCTGACCCCTTGGCATATAAATCACGCTTTGCACGGTACAAGTGATCGGCATCATATCTGTGCCCTTGCAGTCGATAAGAAGCCAACAAACCGAAAACACCGAAATTTCAAACAGTACTAATATTTTGGTAAAGGTAAGAAGGTATTTTTTGATTACTGTAACAAGTGATGTATCAGTTCCTGACATGAGACTGAGGGATTGTATGGTTTTTTATTTTGATGGTTTATTGGTTGAGCTGGGCAATGATCAATCAGTCATATCACAAGGTCGTACACTCATAGGTAGCAAAGTACAAACACACGTACGTCGAATCTACCGTTGATATTAATATTTATGTATGAATTGGTTACCATTGATCATTTAAAGGAATAAAGTACTTGTGAAATGATAACACTTACAAAAATAGCAATATACCACAATATTCTCAACTCAAATACTTTGTTAACCACAAAAACTCCATCAAGTTGACTACTGAAAGTTTTTTCAAGTAGTTGAGAGATGATTCCGTGACAAGATCGGGKTTTTTTTATCAGATTAACCCTAAAGTCTGCAGTACAGTAGATAGAGTTACATTAACGTCACAACGTACTTTAARTTTTACACAACGTCACGTTCTCATCGAACTTGCGGGTAAAAACATTTCTATTTTTCATCAAAAAGACAAATTTCATTATGATACTGTGTTACAGTGAAATAGGATAAGTTTTCAAGTACATAAATGGTTTAAAGTAGTACATTTTACTTATCTAAATTGTGAGCAAATCATTTTTACTTAAACAAAACGGATCTTCTTATATTTCTTAGTGGACGTAAATGTGCACAATACCGGATGCTGACATGTCGATATATCTAACATGTAATGCCGTAACCAAGAGACCTGGCCATAATTGACTACGTTGGCGTTCTACTCACCTTACTTTCCTTCCTACTTTGAAAAGAGAATCGTATAATGACCTCATAAAATTGACAATCATTCGCTTGTACCTTTTATTGATGTATTTATTGAGAGAGGATTGAAGTAAATCTAACAGTTGTCACAAATACTGTACGAAATAGTGGTTTTTATGTATATTTTATGCAATACATCAAATGATTGTTAAAGAAAAAATTATTGAACGTGATTAAGACTCGGAAGCGAAAGGATCAATTTTTTTTCTATTTGGCTTAAACTGTTTTTCCGTGCAGGAAACCAAACAATCTCTTTCTACTTAAACATTGGGAATACACCCCCAGGCCAAGGCGTCTCGATTTATTGGTAATCTTACAAAACAGTCCAAAGCCCTCAGAAAACAATTTAAAAAGAGCGCATTAAGTAGCTATATGAAAAGATCATTAATGTTTAATTAAGGCCGGAAAGAAAACACAAATATTTCTAACTGTTCTCATGAATTTCGCAAGCTTTTCACAATGATTGGATGGATCGAGTAGCTTGGCAACCCAAGACATTTTAAAGGATCAATAAAAAAACAATTACAATAACAGTAGACCATGACAATAGCTCTTTTATGGAAGAGATTTTACGATCCATTTCACTACTGGACTCTTGAAATAGACCTTGTCCTTTTAGGACCTTGCTATACGCTACTAATAGAAAGTACTTCCGATGTAAGTCCTGGMGAGGTCTATTCAAATTGGAAGCACATTTCAGTTCATTGAATAAGCTCTTAAAATGGAATATACGTTTCGTGCATTCGYCGAAACTGAAAAAATCTGACAGCAATATACTACAATAAGTCAGTATGACTGCTTGAAATCTAGAAATCATAGAGAATAAACGGGGAATGGATATTTTTAAACTCTTTTGTTTGTCTCTTCTTTTTAATAAAACTATACGAATATTAGCCCATGTTGTTATGACCTTATCCAATGATCAAACAACGGTGTAAAATAATGTAATGATTTGTGAAAATCTTGTGTCGCAAACTGCAATCTTGTTTACCTAAATACACAATCCCTTATCTACAAAGGCCACTTTGACTTAAAACAAAAACTGATGGTTTTTAGTGAACCGAGAAAGATGTCTTTGTTACTAGACTAAGTGAACGAGCCGTAATCAGAAGTGTGAACCCAAACTGTTACCATTCTCACGGTATATAGAGCGACTATTTGAGAAGTTCTTGCGTTAATTGTTATACAAACAAAGTTCTTTGCTGATGTCAAAGAGAAGAGCTTCTGTCTGTTCATAGTAATCATTGACATTTAGTGAAAATAAATAAAGAAATAAAGAGACAACTTCACACACTGTTTGCTACTAAGAATGTTCATGTGTCCCAAAAATGAAAGACGAGTTGCATTCTATAATTGTTACTCTTTTTTGGATTACTTTAAGTCATATTTTTCAGCACGTATAAATTCTTTTCAAATCAAAAAAATTACTGGAAAAGAGGATACAATTTCTATATTTTTCAGCACGTATAAAGTCTTTTCAAATCAAAAAAATTACTGGAAAAGAGGATACAATTTCCATATTTTTCAGCACGTATAAAGTCTTTTCAAATCAAAAAAAATTAAAGGACCAATTTTTAACTGGAAAAGAGGATATACAATTTCCATATTTCGTAAAAAGTATTATGATAAAGGAAGTTCATAATGGTTCCGCTATGTAGTTTTCAACTCGGAAATTCTTTTCCCTTTGTTCCAATGCCACTTTTCGTATATTCTGTTTTCTACTCKAGTAAACTGTTAAAGCTTTTTAATGGCTGTCGTAGAATGAGTTTAGAACTGCTCTGAATTGAGCAAAACAATTTACACCTCTAATGCAGTGAACAAGTAATACTGTCCGCAATGCGTTTTAATGGAAAATTCTAAAACATGACGAGTAGTGACTTGACATGCAAGGCGTTGGCTAATTCGACACTATACCAATATATAGCGGGATCACGATGATATTGCAGTAGAATCAACGTAGAATTGATGCTGTAATCATATGGTCATCGCAACGAATGTCTGATTCCCAGAGGAGAACCTTATCAAAGAGACTAAACACTTATCGAGGTGTCAAAAGAGCGGAATTATTTCAACCCATTCAAGTCAAATGAACCATAAAAGAAATAGAACTTGAATTAAGTGTTTTTACGAAGAGTCAAACACGACATAACTAGCTATATTGCTTTTATTTTATGCAAAATAAAGGTTTTTTTCGCTTTAGTTAAAAAAATAATCGGTCATTCCCTGCGGTCAACAAAGCATATTGTTTCTATGAAGTATTTAGAAATAGCTTACAAAAGTTTCAATTAATGATAAGATTCCGGTCAAGAGAACAATAAAGAAAGTTAGTTAAAACGGTTGTCACTTCAGTGCCGAGTTAGTTTACCTACGATTGCAAGACGGTTCACTTCTCGGTACAGTTCTTTATGTAAGTGATACAATACATTGTAGTGGTCTTGTGGCCGCGTATAGAAAGGTTCTCTAATATTATAATAATTCTAGTACGAGATTTTTTGATGAGATAAGATAGATATCTTTGTTTTTCTACAGCATGAGCGACATGATTCCTCCAGGACCCACACCAGGATCAGCATTGTATAATCGTATTCCAAAGTGCGCGCGGTGTCGAAATCATGGAGCGCTGTCTTGGTTGAAAGGACACAAGCATTACTGTCGATGGAGAGACTGTACCTGCTCTAAATGCTTGCTTATTGCCGAGAGACAACGTATTACTGCTGCTAGGGTTGCCTTGCTAAGACAACAGAGAAAAAACGTCGATTCATCGAAAGGAAAAAGCGGGAAAAGTCCAGAACATTGTGWGGACCAAGAAACCTATCGCGAAGAGGCGTTCATAAGACCAACTATGGTGTTAAATGAAATGGTGAATTTACACAGCCACAGCGATGATGGTAAGCAGACGTTTTTAACCGATTATCAATGTCATGAAGGGAGTGAGAATCTTAGGACTACAACTCTGCCTGAAATCTTGTTTAGAATTCTAAATTCACTTAACATTTATTTTAAAATAAACATTCTTGTTCATCAGATGATAGCAAGCAATCATGGGAAAATTCACCAAGTAACTCCGAGAACAACCTGAATATAACCGATGAGAAATCGTACACTAGTGACGTAAAAATCAAGACTGAACCTGAGACAGAATTCGACTCAGAAAGTGAAAGACAAGAGACTGATTCTCCCAAGAGACGCCTTATTAGGGAAACGAGAACCAGTGACGACGAACCTCCATTGAAGATGTCCCGACAAGTAGAAAGTCCTAATGGCCAACCATCCCGAAAGCTTCATCCAGACCCACTAGACTTACTGTCCAGGGCATTTCCAAACCACTGTAAAAATGTTCTTGAAATGGTATTGCAAGGTTGCAATGGAAATGTTGTTCAAGCTATTGAATGTCTACTGACAAATCAAGAAAAAAACAAGCCTTTACTACCAATACCGATGCCTTTATTAGCAGGATATCCACGAGATATTCATCCAGGAATACATCCACCCATGTTATACCGCAAGGACAACTTCCCACATACCTTTCATCAAGCAATTCCAGTCAATTGCCGATTCCCACCTCCACCACCACCTCCTCTATTCAAACCTAAACCACCAAATAGTCCAGGTTATGGATTTGCAATGGAGACCATTTTACCTTCACCGGATTCATCCAAACCAACTAAAGAAGAACTTAATTCAAGTCGCTTTTGTACTCAATGCGGTAAAAAAGCAAACAACACTGACAATTTCTGCGCTTTTTGCGGACAAAAACTTTGCCCGTAGTGGAAATAGCTTGTTTTAAACACAAGTATTCGCTGTAACGGGAATAAGACTTTGTAAGAATCTGTTAAGACTTGTAAATAGTATATGAACAAAATGTACATGTAAAGTACCGTAAATAAACAAATAAAGAAAGTATTATACATATCCTTGATCTTGAAGAACCTGCAATAGGAATTCCAGGGAAAAACAAACCACAAGACAACACATTGTAATGGTTACAACTGGTTTAATAGTGAATGTTTTGATAGTTCCTGATTATACACAGATAAATGAACTACTTGAATTATTTCAATTGATTTATTCAATCATTTAACATTTCAAAATAACTTTCCAAATTATGAAACATTCATAAAATTATATACGACAACACAAAATAACTGTTTAAAATCTAACTTGAAATCCACTCTAAATTAAAAACATTCTTAGAAAGAAATGTGATAACGTAAAAAAACAATGGCGGCTATTAGACTGACTAGCAATCCAAAAATCCACTTACAAACCATGAAGAATCACGARTCACTCGCTTATATTTCTCCAGCTTTTGAGGTTAAGCACTATACTAAAGGATGTTTGTTGCATTTTATATCAATCAATTATTATTGTGAGAGTCAGGTTCTTGTCAGCGCCACGGGGATCGTAAACGTTATTTAACGCTCAGTTTCTCTATATGCCYGTTTAGTCCAGAATTTCACGTGATAGATGAAGGTTTTTCATCGTCCATTCGCCTTTGTCTTTTAGGACATGTTATAGGGATGGTTAGAGTACCAGATCATTCTATTAGTATTACCTTTGACGGTTCCCTATGCATAGTAGCACGGTGACACTAGCAGGTCTGTAAGGATAACTAACTGATCGTCGGTAAACATCTGTTTATGTTCTTGCCAGTTGTCATGGTGAGTTCGTCGAAAACTTGACAAAGCGTTCTTGACTGTCGTCTAACGAAACAAAACACCATTGCTGCTATTAGGTCGCAAACACGATCGTTGAACACTTAATTTAAATCGTTAACTTTAACTTTTAAACACTTATGTACGAAATTCCACACAAATACAAATATGAAAATACCTATTTAATAACTAGTACTTACATCAATAGTTGAGTGATTGTACTTACATAAATTACTTACATCAATAGGTATGGGGTCATAGTACTTACATCAATAGGTATGGGGTCATGAAGATGGTCACCAAGTTCGATAATCATTTCAGGTAGCCAATACGGAACATCATAAGGAAAAGCTTTGACACARCTAGCTAATCCAAGTACACCAGCATGACGCTTGAGAAGACGAGCTGTAGWCAACCAATCAATGAGTCAATCACTTAACCATATATAGGCATGTCCTTCCTTCCCCTCGTCCCTCCCTCCCTCCGTCATTCACTCACTCGACCAATCGATATTTTAATCAGTTCACCACTTATTTGTTCAACCAAACATATGATAACATATGATAAATAAGTAAGACATACCACTTTCATCTCCATTTACAACGTCGTTCGATGCGTCAGCTTTCCGTTTCTTGGTCAGCTTCGTCCTCGCCATCTTTTTGAACTTATCCTGTGAATGAAAAAAACATGAGCCGATGGATAAATAAATCAATTGATTATTTTACATTTCGTTATCCAATCATTTATAGCTAAATAGCAGATCATTATTAGCCATTATAGTTGACCATCAATCAAACYTACCTGCAGSACTTGACCGAGTTCGAATATTCCGTAATGAAGCAGTCCGCTGAATGTATCAGCAGCCATCTCGCGGACCTAGAATGACATATTGTTGATTAAGAAGATTAATTGTCTAGTTTGCTGGTTTRTTTGTTAGTAATGTGGATGTTCTTTCATCTGCTTGTTGTTGATGTGGTAATTTTGTTATACTCGTTTGTATTATGGTCATATGGTAGGTTTAATTGTTAGTTTATGAGTTAGGTTGTTTGGCTAGTCTAATACTTTACCTCAAGCCTTTCGTCAAGTAATAACCCAAACAGAAGATCCTGKATTTCTTGAATGAAGGCAGGATTTTGAGTGATGTAGAATTGATTGGCAAACACCATTAACTGAAAGATAACGTGGAAAACTGATATAAAACAAAAATACTACACGATAGGTTACGAATTGAATGAAATAAAAAGACAGACAGAGAAAAGCACTTGTATTCATTCTCTTTTTAGGAAATAACGTATAATGATTTCAAAATCCTAGAAATACCTGGAGATACGATAAGATGCTCTTCCTTGCATACCAAAGATTTTGACTTGCAATCTGTACAGAAAACGCACAGGGTGACCGTTAGACATGATCAGTACCTCATATCCTTGTTTAGGCAGCAGTAATTTTACCTTTTTCACAGAGTCAAGTGCGACAGGAAGCAAATCCTTTGGAAGTTCAACTTGAGCCATATAACTGACAGTCTACAAGAAAGAAATAATTATTACTCTTTCTGTTAGTGTAAGGAAGTTTATCAGTTTGTGGAATAGATATTGTCAAATCTTACATTACGACAATGATGCTGAAGTTCCGGATCTTCTTCTTGAGAATCAAACAGAATAACCTATGAACACACGTACCATATACGAGTTTTATTCATGATCTACCAAGAAAACAATGRCCACTACTATGAATACTATTATATCAGATCTGTCGTTAGACTTACACAAGGAAGCAAGTTAAAGAATTCCTCGGAACAACTGTTAAGCGCTCGTACGGCATGGGTTAGAAGCCAGTTCGTAACTACAACAAAACAATAATAATATAATGTTTAACCAGAACTATTGCTGTGGCATACATAAAATCAATGGATAAAGGTRAAATAAGAGGAAAAAGGAAGAGATCAAGACTAGAGGACATTACATACTTGTTTTAAGAAGTCTAACAGCCTCGCTTTCAACTGAACCTTCCTTAACTTTAGCCATGTCAACTCCAGTTGTAGGATTGGTTTTATCGTCAATTGTAGTGAGTTTCATAAGACACTCAAGGCGAGGAACGATACTGCTTACAAAGTCTTGCCGTTTGGGTGATCGTGTTGGGAGTGAATTCGGTAAATGAATGTCATACATAAAGATGCTACAAAGCACACTAAAAAAAAGACGGTATAACAGATATAAATATATGAGATTGACTTAAATGTAGACAGTATAACAGATATAAATATATGAGAATTGACTTTAAATGATGCTCTTTTCAACTGCGAATTTCATGCAAAGAATGGAGAATTCTCCATTGAATGCAGTACTTGTGAGATTCGGCCCTTGCAAGAGACCTAACTAGAACTATGTCTTGCAATACAGCAGTTTCCACAGGAGATAGTTGGTAAGTTTAATGTAATACGATGATGAAATACCTTCCTGAACGATCACGCACGTTCTTGTACGAATGTCCTAGACGAAAGAGTATTATAGACAACAACTTGTGCAGAAGTTCAGCTACTCGCCATTCTTGCTGACAAAGAGCTCCTTGAATAAGATAAAGACGGCTACAGAAGAAAGAAAAACAGAAAACTTTATTGATGAAGGCCACATTGACCAAACAAGAAGATTTAAAAAAACTTKCCTTGCATCAGAAAATGATCCACTTTCACCGGAGAGAGGCWCGTCCAGCAAGGCATCTAACAACCAGTGAATACGACGTGGATCTCTACTTTCCTGGAAATACACAGCACTCAGTTCAATGCAATACCTAACTATGGCAGATCTATYTATAGTTTATGTTCAAAAAGTGAGGTATGTTTAAAATCAATTCCATGCCGTGTTGCTAGTCCAATATGTATTTAAACAAGAAATGGAATACATGCAGACAATGATGAACCAACCAAACGACAAGAATGTCGCAGGCTATCTTACCACTGCAGTTGCCATACAAGTTCCCCAGTCTTCTAAAGTCTCRACGGTTATTGAGGGAATCGCTTTTCTCAATAACGGTATCAGGAAGTCCCACATGGCTTTAGTCTATAAAATCATAAATTTCAATGAGGTATTCAAAGTGTTGTGTAATTGAATAGCAAATGTAGTGAGGGCATCAAGTATGGACAGACCCCCCCCTGCACTTATAACCCCCCTGATACCTTGGTGAACGTCCAGTGTTTGGATCCTCTAATAAGAGCAGCAATGATTTCTACAGCACATCGTTGCGAGCTTTCCTGGTAATAASTGCTGATGTTAGAATGTTTTTCCATTAATAAGTTATAAAACCATACAACCATACCTGTGAATCTACTGTAAGACGTTCAAGATGAGGCTTGAAAAGATCCATGAATGAATCGTCAAAATTCCGAAATAAACCCTAGAAAAACAGACCAACAAACCGCAAATGAATGTAAGTTGCATCGCACGATTTATTCATCAGCGAATAATGATTACCTTGAATAATAAGAAACGATTGACACTGAATTTGTCTTTTCCCTTACGATCTTCAAGTGATAAAAATTCAATGAATTTCTCCACAAACTCTTCTTGTGAAAACCGGTCGAATATCTCTCGTTCCCCCTGTTTAAATAAGCAAAATATTAAAATCATATGAACCTCTTGATATCAAGTTATCGTGCTAACATACAGTTATATTACCTCTGAAAGCTGTTCTCGTGTTCTTCCTAAAGCTGGTTGCTGGTCAGCTGGTGCATATGTCATTAGCTTCCTGACATGAAAATACATAAAAAACTCATTTCACTAAACATACTAAAATATACACCATTGCAGTTGCATAAGCATGGTTGTGTGTATGACTTACTTTGGCCAGGTGTAGTATCCCCAGTGGGTCTTATCAATGAATGTAYATCGATCCCAGTCCTCTTGTGTTTTTGGTAAACGATCAGAAACAAAATGAAGCCTGAAGAAATTACAGTAACAACAACTAAGTATTGTAACATTTGATGGTTTATAAACTAGAGTATTTGGATTAGGTTTTTCATAAGGTTTGATCACTAAAAGTAAGTGTACCATGAAACTACAATTTAGTGACAGAAATAAAGATAGGAAAATCATACTCACCAGAGATTGTCAGGACGATCTCCAGGTTGAATCAAGCTTTCTGTTGGTTCTGGTACTTCAGCTGCGTAAAAACGTTGTGAAAGAGTTACGTCTTAAGACCGAGAAGCATGCAAAACTATTTCCATAAATGTGCTCAACAACATTATGTACACAAACCACTCAAATAAAACTTACCAACAGCATAAGGGTTGACAGCGATTTTCACATGAGATCTTTTCTGCTGCTTTAAGACAGAACCAACAGCCGAGATAGCCATCTAATAAAATGATTCAAATTATGTTGGAAATGTAACCTAGTGGGGGTCTAGTGGGGGTGGTGTAGTGGTGTTGACGGGGTAGGGAGGTGGTTGATTATTTAAGATGTATATCAGTTCCATACCTTCCTGATAGCCAGAGCATCATGATTTAGATAGTCAGTAAATAGCGCGACAGTTCTTTGAGGCATTGGCTGGTCGTAACGAATCAAAGTTCGTAAGAAATTAAAACACAACTGAAGATAACGCCAACGTCTAAACACACAAAAAAAACATTATTATTAACTATGAAGTTTGTATGATTTTAATGGAAGAATACTGATTAGTAGTTTTGAGCTACCACTTACAAATTATCTTTTTCCAGGAGTGATGTTAGCTTTATTATAAGCTCATTGTAATTTCTGATAAAAGAAACGATGAATAAAATCAATAAAACTCAAAGCCAACATGAAGTAAGGCACAATGACCAGCTACCTTAAGTTGTTGTCATTACGTTCATTGTACATTTCTGCAGCTTTTTGAAGTTCATTTTCAGTTGGTTTCACTGGTCTATCAGGATCACCTTTGAGTGTCTTGGGAACTGGATTGCTAGAATCCATTATCGCCATTGCATATTGAATAGCACTGTCTGGGACCTGGTACACAACATTTGATTTACAATCATAGTATAAAGCAGTTTTAAGGAYACAATTTCAGAACCTGAAGGAGCTTTAAAGAGAAAGAAAGAAGAAGAAAGAAAGAAAGGATGCAAGATGACTGACCTGTCGTATAATTGCCACAGTGTCATGTTTCTTGATCATCTTATCACCCAGTGCACTTATCAGAGTTGTGATAGTTGGTTTTTCTGAATGATTTGCCTATAAAAAACAGATACAATTTCACTGTTTAATTTGTTATGGTTGTTAAATGTAYGAGTGGTTTAATACCTGGATGATTGCAGGCCATACATCTTTCATGATCTCCCAATAATGATTTACCAAGTAAAACATACGGCCATTGAGCAAAATGTGCAGAACACCCTGAAAGACACCACAATAGCTGCTCAGTTAAAATCCAGTACAGTATAATGAAATTRTCAGAAAGGAACCTTAAAAGCTTCATGTGAGACGTCATCATCTTCTTTCAGATTTGCTAGAATGGAGGGAAATATTGATCTTGCATAATAGTCAAACACCTCAATACATATGCCCATCACCTTCTGAGCTTTGATGCGGACCTAAAGAAAATGGTGGTTAATACAAATAGTACTGAAAAATGAAGAACGATATTTATTTTTGGATGGCAGTCAGAGAACAAAACAAAGGTTTGGGCTTAAAAATGGGAAGGTAAATTTCAAAAATTTCTATAATGCATTTGTTATTTTAGATACATTTCTGTCTGAGAAACATTAATATCATTCTTGAACATATTGCTATATTTTGTACAGTTGATGACATTGTTTAGGTATCATTAAGTAAGTGACAAATTAAATTTGAATTCAGATACTAGTACAGTACACTTCTAGTTCATAAAATACGTACCTCTGTGTATTCGCTTGTTGCTAAGGTGAAGAGATCATCCAATAACACTTTATGAAGAGTTGTCATCTGAGATGAAACATTGTCCAGAATGCGCATCTATAATCAACAAAATTGTATGATTAAGCAAAATAAAATAATAATTATTATTGACTTTTAATATTTAATACCTCATGCTGAAGTTGAACTCTCTCAATAAGCAAAGCACGYACATGTTTCTTCTTTCCTGCAAGCTATACATATAGTATATATATATAATATTATCATACTGATATCGATTCAGTTCATATTCAGACTAAATAGCTACCTTATCCTCCATTGCCCTCTTTACTGCTCCGGCACCTCGCCATCTTACATCAAACTCATCTCGTTGACCAATCAAATGAAGCAACAGAGACTCATAAATCTGAAGTACAATATTAATATAGACACAACTACAAAAAATGTACAACTGCATATATGTTATACTGACATATAATATCTGTAAGTATTTTACCTTGACTATAAATTGAAGTGCTCTTGTGTCATCCTCACGATGGCGCAATAGATGTTCTTCAAGTAAAAGTATTTCATTTTTAATTTAATAATTAATAATACTCTCAGTAATACTCTTTATGGTATATGATCAATTTTGAACAGACTATTTTCATTATGGATGTCCGCGGACATGTTGATTTTATTATTTATAATCATTGATGTATTATGCATATCAAAGCTTTACCAACAAGCTTGTGCATCAATTCTGCAATCTTTTCTCTTGAATTGTCWCCCATATCAACATCTGAATAAAGATTAACAAAGTCAGTGATTGTTATTGTAAGAAGCCATAGTTTTACAAGCAAAGATACCTTTAGTGTCCACTGATATTGTGTGGTGAAACCTTCCACGGTTAACCATGGTCTTTGTYCCTCTACATGACAAAGAAATACTTAGAGTTTTCCTTTTGCAAGAAATACTGTCAGTGTACATTACTATATGAAACTTTAACATTTAACACACTTGAAGATTAGAGCGCATTTCGTATGAATGCAAAAAACATGGTACTTTCATGCTGTGACCGTGCCGTGCCGTAAAGGTGATGTATTGTTAAATCTTTATTTTTATTTGGAATCTTAGAAGGTGAGGTTCCGTGACCGTGCCGTGCCGTGTCCGTGTTATGATTCACGCCGTTGCACAGTCATACGAAATCCGCTCTACTCTAGGAAAGTAAAACAAATACTGAATAGTGTGACAATTCATAAATACATCTTCAGTTGTCTAAGTTTGCAGTACGTATGAACAAATTTGTAATTTCCAATTTGAAGTTCATTTAAATATTTCACTGYTTTGGCTCTTATTTGAGTGTTTTTCAGAGCCAATGTTAGCTGCATGATGATGCTCTACAAACTTACAYGTTTGGTAGAGGAGGCTTGTCCCACGTTGGCAACAGCAAAACTCCTCCAGAGAGACAGCTTTGTATAACTCTCAAACTTTGTTGAAGCTCCTCTCTGAAATAAAAAWATATAGTTATGTCTTATTTGGAAGAAATTCACACTATCTTCCCATTATCTTATACAGCTTTWTTTTTTGCAATTTTAATGTCAACCAAATACATGTAAGATGCTAGCAATATTATGTTACCTTGTCAAAGTCTCAGATCCACTTATAAAGTTATCTACTCGCTTCATCTCAGGTTGCAAGAAATTGTCAAGTATTTCTTTAGCAAAGKTAGTCTCTTGCTTTGATGGAATGTGCCATTGAATGTTCAGATTATAAAGATCACCTGGTTTACCCCAATCCTACAAGAAAACTAGATTATAAACTCTCTTTTCTTTTTGTATGCAATTTTAGATTTTGAGGAATTTTGATGTATATTGAGATTTAAAATGTATTTCTACTATTGCTGCTTGTACTAATACTAGTTTGAGCCTGTGTAAACATACCCTGATTAAAAGGAAATCCTCAGGAGATTTCCCAAAGTCTGCAATTATACTTTTCCATTCAAGTGGGTAGATGTAAGACAAAGGGCGTAGAAGGTTCTCTACAAGCTATTAAAGCAGGAAGATTTTTAGTATTGTTTTTGCAGGTTATGTATCAAATGATATCATACATGTATGCCATGAGTAAATAAGCCTTTAATAGGTAAAATCAGGTTCCCAGAACGTCCCCCTCTACATAACATCAAATTGCAAGTTTTATCTTAATGGAGCAAACCTTGGCTGAAAGAGTTGCTGCTTCTTTGTTTTTAAGATGAATTGTTACTTTAATCACTTTAATAATCTCATCTTTATAAGGAAGCAGTTCATAACCATTTGTACGGACCACCTATAYCAAGCAAACATTGAAATGAAAATCCATTTTATACAGCAGTGTTTGGATTGCAACTATTGATACAAGAACTAGTTAATGATCTATGAGCATTCCTAATCACATGATAATAATAATTTGKCAAGAATACCTCACTCAATATTTGGAGATTCCATAGTAACTGTTCATCTGTTTCTTCTTCATGCTTCATTCCTTCCACTAGAATACAATACATAATTATTATGGGACTGAACTAAATGTGTGACTAAACCCATGTAAGCTTTGAATTAATAGTTGGATGCAATAGAATCAGCACAGCAAACATCACTTGCTATACTTCGTTTTACCTGAAGTGATTCCTTCAATGATGGAGCAGCAATGTGGCAGAAACTTCTTTAAGGTTGCCTTTGCATCAGTCTTAATTATGAATAAAAAAAACACTCAAAACATGTTGGAAAATGATTTCACATGGTTTTCTGTCTTTAACAGGATTCAATTGAGGTACAAAACTTGCTGAAATTGACATTTTTGTGCAAGAAAGCATAAAATACAATACAGTATAATATTGTGTTAGGTAGAGTGTACCTTAGAAGCAGCTCTACACATATCAGCAGCAATCTTTCCAGCAACTTTCATCTCCAAAACATTTGTTGAACAAAAGTTAAAAAGCTTGTCTAAAGCAACCTAAATAAACATAAAACATGACAAATTGTCTTAGCAGATTTAGAAAGTAATCAATACATTAAATTATAATTTACCTTATAGATCTGTGGTGAGCTTTGCATAAGAATGGCATGAAATGTTGATGCAACACCCATACCAACAATACCCTCTTGACTATGCCTCTGATCTGATTTGAACAAGGAACTGTCTAATTCTGAGACATTTTCAAATGACGAGCTTTCTATTAAGGAAAAGCATCTACAAAATAAAAAGACATTCATAGTTTCAAGAAAGTATTATATGTAAGAATAAAGTATAATGTCGCTACTCACCGATCCATAAACTGAAGAACAAAGTCTTCAAACTGACTTGTGGCCAAACACAATTCTTTTTCTTCCTGTATTAAACAAGTTTTTTTACCATATTATAGCAAATAAAATAATATACTGAAACTAATATTATGTAGATGTCACGTTGTTACTCACATCTGTCATATCTACTACACCAACAGCTCCAGAGCAATCAACCACTGGTACAAGAGAAATAATTGTTGAGATAAAGGTGAAGGTTGCCTGAATCCAACAAAATACAATGTATGGTTAACTTGACACATAACAAAACAATGCTCAATAATGCTTGAATATGTTCTTAAAGAACAGTTTACAATAAGAGATACACATTATATAATATAACCTACCACTGCCTTCCTAAAGTCATTAGGATCAATTCCTGGTAATATCAGCTGGAGAAGAGGTAAGACATGAGATTTGCCTTCAGGATAAGAACCATCAGACTTGACTAAAGCTCTTGCCACTGATGTAACACAGTTTAAGGTAGCAGTAAGCTGGTGTGGTTCAATCAATGTGTCTAATGCTGTATACAGCCTAAAATATACAAGGTCACAAGTCATCTATAAAAATATGGTTGAAATTAAATGCAACATTCCCTATAATAAATGTCCATAAATACTGATTTCATTTCAAGTTTGTAAAAAAGCCATCCTTCAAATCCTCCCATTTGAACACATCACATCTGAACTTCTTTCTCTTTTAAATTAATACTAGGTGGCTTCTTTATTGCAGTAAAGAAGTTAGATTTGTTTAAACATCTCTAACACTTTTAAGTGTATTATCTCAACACACAGTTTCTATTCCTATRTCATGAAATCTTACTTGTCCAAGAGAGTTGGCAGGACCAAGTCAGGCTTCATCATTGCAAGATGTTGCAGTGAATTAGCAGCATCAAAACTACCAAACTTGTTAAAAATGGCCAACATGACAGCTGGTTTCAAGCTTTCCACAAACTGACTGATATCATTGTCAGTAAGCTTCTTGTCATCYGGTGTTTTTGCTTGCCATGAAGAGTCTGAAAACTTTTCCCTTAAAAAGGTTGTAGTTATAGTGACATTAAAATCAACTTCATGATCAAACATCTGCATCCCATCAAGTACATTAAATTTATAATTCAATAACTAACCGGCAAAGTCTTTTAATAACTTCGCTTGACAATTTAAGCAGTAATTTTTGCAATTTTCCCTGCAAGAGAAACCCAACATCACATTAATTGGAACTAAATATAATATTCTCTTATGATTGACTGACTATCAATCAGTGCTGACTGGATAGATACAACACCACTGCAATATGAAATAAAATATATCATTTCAATTGTTTCAAATGATTTTGCACCAAATGTACTTACTGAATATCTACCAACATTTGAAGGATGATAAAATGATTCTAGTGATATGAACATTTTTGACAAGTGCTCTTGAGCGACACTGTCTCCTCCCTTGTAAGTAAAAAAAAAAAACACAAACATTACCCTTGTAAGTAAAAAAAAAACACAAACATAATCAGCACTTTACATTTAAACTATCTGCCCTAATAACTAAGATTCTATGTTATGATAAAAAAAATCTTACCAAACTACTAACAATCCATATAACATAAGAACGAAGAATAGATTTGTAATCTTTACAAGGATAGGACACAGATCCCCCACTGCCTATCGGTAAGCTGAATGTTTTCAGTAATCTTGTAAAAACCTACAGAAACAAAGGTACAAGATTGGTCACATTTGTATGCTTTCAKAGCAAAGTTGATCCTTGAATTTGGGCTACCTGTGTAAAAACCAGTCAATAGTCTAGAAGTAACTAAAAGTTATTTCCTATCAGTCAAGAATGATAAAGAAAGCTTAAAACATAAACAAAACTAGTAAAGCAGGTCCATTATCTACACTAATGACCCAATCTTACACAGGAAACCATGCACATATACTACAAGAATGCATTAAAACACATACCATAGGGATGTGAGGATTCCAATCAATATATCCAATATTATCCCTTGCAAGCCGAGAAAGCAGCTTTAGACAATCCTGCCAAATAAATTAATAAAAGGATTAATATTTCATTAATATCATGTTAGCACTGTGACAATAAAATGGATATCAAGTATTACAATAAAATTAGGTCAGTGTACCTCTTCCCACATTCTTCCTGGGTTTTGAAATGTTTTCCAAATACCTAATATCTCATCAAACCACAGCCTATGACAGATAATAAATCATTGTTCAGAACAGTTTTGTTGTCTGCACATACAATTAATAATGCTCTTTTCTCTTGATAGAAATTTGCACTGCATATGAAAATTTACTATCAATATGAAGTACCTAAATCCCTGATTAGCTTGATGAGGAGGTAAAGTTGTTGGGAGAAACAAAGACAAGTAGAAAATTGCTTTTCCAAATGTGATATCATAGGGACACATCAAYGGTCTCCATTCATCAAGCATCTCTTGAGTCGATTCTACACTAAAATACCTAAAAACAYATTAAATAAATTATGTCAATAAATATATATAAACTAACATATTAATCACAACACAAACAAAAACAAAATGAACAACAACAAAACAATGACACTTACACTCTTGAGAACATGACAACTAACTTCAATACTTCTTGATATTTGCTGTAAAGAAATACAATCAGTACTGTCACAGACAATGTTCAAAATAAWACCAATCATCAATGCATATGAATGACATCACATGCTCAGGGTTTATCCTTTTTGCATGTGCAATGGATATTATGTAAGGATGGTCCCATACTTACTATTCTGTATGTTTCTTAAGCCCAACAGAGTCAAACTTGGAGTAAAACATAAACTCAACTGCATTGTATAATGGCTTCCATGGAAGGGTTAGTTCATCCCTAGAAATTAACTTCCTTTTCCTGAAATCAAAAAATTGAGCTTAGTTTAGAGTATTGGTAAAAAAAGTTATTTTTACAATAATATTGTGCACATATTTTAGTGAAACACATTCCTCCATTTATTTAATGGAAATTACATGTATATGGTAGGAGTCAATATCTAATGATCCTTACTTGTAGCATTTGAACAATCTATCTATACAAATGGAAGTTACAACTAGACTGTCAATTTTGTCATCTTAGTTGTTCCTGTATCCACGTTGCTAGAATATCTTCAGTTACAGCTTTAGGACCAGTTACCAAGGGCACATTGTCAAATGTACTGTAATGGTTCAATTAGGATACCGGCTTTGTATACAATTTCACATAACAMCCCCCTCCCACTTTCACCTCAAAGTCATGCAGCTTAAAGGGCTACTTGGACGAAAATATTTTCCCGCAATTGTTTTTAAAAGATAAAAATGAGTCATATATTTGTATTGCTTGTAGTTTGGGAATAAGACCACTTTCATGCAAGTAGCACTTTAAGGTTACCCCTGACACTATTTTCGTCAAACCTTTCAAAATTTTTAAATTAGGCTGAGCAACTTAAAAGAAGTGTCAACAAAATGCTGAAATTCAAACAGTCGTTTGAAGAACATATTTGAGTAATTTCCTTTATATTTTGCATGTTAATTTAGACATTACTACAGCTTTAAAGTKTCTCTGTGTTTGTCTTTTTAAGCTTTCTTTGTTGAGATATAAGCAGTTTTGTGAGGGATGCTTTAAACAGGGCCTAGTCTAACTTTAAAATCGAATGAAAAAATAACGAATCATTGAAAAGCCAAGTGCAGACACACAGCCTTTGTAACAGGATCCAAAAAAGTTTATCTTTCTACGTCAAATTTACTGTAAATGAATCTCTAGTGCGGAGACACTATGTTCTTGTCAAGTCCTTAATGTCTTTTAATAGAATCAATTTTATCACAAAATCCGTCCAAATATGGATTCTTTGTCAATTTTTTCTTTCATAATTTTTGCGGGTTTCCTATTTAATCATGTGATATATGATTTTTTAAAAACACCTCCTGGAAGTATCCGGGGTAACCTTAAAGACAGAATGCCTGACACTACAATTTAATAATATTTTAAAAAGCACCTCTTAACTATTTTCTAATTTTACAATAATCAGCCATTGTGTATTTGTTGTTTAATATCTATCATTGTAAGACTTACTTTAACAATCGAATGAGTACATGACCATAACCATTTATGTACTGTGGATCCAGTTGTGGAGTTGTAATCAGTTCATAAAACAACTTTATAAAATGAAGGTGATCTTCTTTGGAAAACTTTCTGCCATACGTCTTGATATACCTGCACAAATTTGATAGTTAATAATTATAAGTTTGACATTTTCTACTACATGCTCATTATCTTGAAAAAAGTGCATGTCACAGTTACTCAGCACATTTCAGTATTTTAGGCTTTTTACTTGTGAAATTTTTCATTGAATGCCGTAAAACAACGGTATAATATWGATATCAGCAAAAARGTGAATTCAGGATAAAACAAGTTTTCATTAAGAATCAAGTACCAAATTCAAAATGAGATTTTTTTTTTGAGTTTAAAGTTTTCGAGATAGTTAAGCTTATATAAAATCTGTGAATACCAAAAAAGAAATAAATCGTTTACCCAGAAAGTTGATTACTCCAGTACAGTATTCCAGGATTTGATTCCTTAAAAACAACAGCTCGACTTAGATTGTATTTAATTTCCGCCAGAAATTTGTTGGACTCYTGATCAAGTTGGTCTTTGTAAGGAAGCAGATGATTGTAGGCGATCTCTTTCTGTGGTATAAATCCTAGAGAACTATTCTTTGCTTGCATAGTTTCACCCATGATAGAAACGTTTACTATAGTGGACTATTCCAGGGCATGGTTTTCATGAACTGAACAAACTCTGAGGCACCATTTTCACTTGTTCTTCTTCTCTAACCTCAATATTTCTGATCGGGTCAGCAGTTTGCGGTGCACATGCGCATGTAGGCGGCAGATATCGTAGGCGGCCCAACACCACGTAATTTTACGGATTTTTCTTGGTCTACAGACATCGTTCTACAGAAATACTTGAAAGACACTGTTGAAAGTTGTTGAAAGAAAAAATTTAAAAATTTAAAAATTTGATTAATGAAATACTTACTAAAAAAGATGGGTTACCTGTGTTAAGACTTGTTACCAGTCCTATCCTTACGTACTGCAGAGCAAATTGTTTTTTCTTTGCCATGTGGGTTAGGCAAGAATATAAGCCAGAAAAGGCAAGATTTCAACAAGTTTACGAAATAGAAATTGGAGGAAATGAAAAATYGGAGCAAGGATTGAAGTGCAAGGTGACACGTAAAGTAAAACTYGAACAGAACTACAGTGGACTTGGAACTACAGTATGGGATGGCAGCATTGYGCTTGCAAAAATGTTTGACAATTTTCCCAGWGAAATGTTGAAAGGTTATTCAGTATTAGAATTTGGTGCAGGATGTGGTTTAGTGGGAATTTATCTTTCACTTCTTGGAGCAAAACGAACTGTTCTGACAGATCAAGAATGCTGTATACCCACATTAACCAGGAATATAGAGCGAAATATAGACTTATCACAAAACACCTCTGGAGAGATAGCTGCCATGGAGTACTCTTGGGGAAATGACACAAGTAACCTCACTAAATCGGGATTATTTGATTTAATTGTGGCTGCAGAGGTTCTGTATTCTGAACAGGAAGCCATCAAATTGGCAAATTGCATACCAAAAGTCACTCATCCATCCTCAGTAGTTTTTGTATCAATGGGAAGAAACCGCCTTGGAGAAAATTCATTTGCAAGAACACTGAAAAACCATGGATTTGTTGTCCAAGAGGTAGGTTAATGAAGTAACAGGTCTACTAAATTCCTTTGACTGGTGCTGTCATTACAGCTGTACTCAGCCACCTTTTAGCTTGTTTTTTTTGTGTGTGTACCATTTTAATACCTTACTTCTGTACTTTGCAGGTTGGTAATGAAGATTTACATCCTAAATATCAGGATAGCATTATCAAAGTTATAAAAGCTTGGAAATCTTAAGATTTTGATATTCGCTTATTTCACAAAACAATGGCTCAGGGAAATAACAGCTCGTTCTGATCATTCCAAAATCATTTTCTTTATGACCATCAAATACTGTGCTACTATTGGTTCTTGACAGGGAGTTGCTAAGGTATCAATAGTACTGTATAAGGTTCAAAGAATCTAAAATAAAATAAGCAAATTTAAACAACTTTATTGAAATCAATTTACATCTTAAAAATAGATCATAATAGTACATCAGGGTATTGTTACACACTCACTATAGGTACATATTGTAATAATTATTAGATAAAATACCCTAATTAGAAGGAAGGGGTATTAGTCTAGTCTTGCTGGAGACTGAACCCATCATAATACTACCATTCAATATAGCTAAATAAATTAATGTAAAACCCTTACCCTAAACAAGATGACAAATATATACTGTACACTTTGTATCATAATGAAAAGTAAGGCAGTCTTTACTCTAAGACATTTGTTCAGTAATATAATAGGATTGAGTCCTACATGGGGAGGAAATCATAAAACATAAAGTGCAGAATGGTTTGGAAAGTAGAGTGAAAAAACTCTTTGGGTAAGTACTATCTACAGCTGAAGTCATTTCCATGTCAACTATTGCAAGGCATTGATTACAAAATCAAACCTACTCTTTTCTTTCTATGATTTAGTACATGTCAATGATTGTTCATTTGAGTGTATACAGTGTTATTGAGACTAAAGAATTCTGCAATGTCTAAGAAATGAGTCCTCTACATGTTAAACAACAGCATCATCCCTGCAAGATAGAAAAGCAATCAGTTAGTAAGTAAAATATCACTATGGTGTATGGGTACAAAATCACTGTACCTTTGGTTAGCATGGCATTCTTCATCAACATGTTGACCATTAATCCTTAAATCACTGTTTCCTATTGTGGAAACTTGAAGTGGCTGATCACCTTGTCTGCTATGAAGCTGATTGTACATTAATACCCTGATTAGATTCATAACTTGAAAAATATTTTTATGAGATTAAGTCTCCTAACCTCATGCATATACAAGACGCTGGAGTTCATTACAGCTTCTGTCTGTTGCTCCCGATGTTGACGTGTGTCTGCTGTTGTTATTCCACCATTGATTCCACCAAATGTTGGATCACTTAGTGTCATGTAAGGCAATCCAGTCAACTGAAATAGCAAAAAAACATCAATACAACCACTCATACTTACCACTTGACCAACAACTACCAGGCTGACCAACACCTACCAGGTTGACCAACAACTACCAAGCTGATCAACAACTACCAGGCTGACCAACAACAACCAGGCTAATCAACAACTACAAGGCTGATCAACAACTACCAAATTGACCACCAACTACCAGGCTGACCACCAACTACCAGGCTGACCACCAACTACCAGATTGACCACCAACTACCAGGCTGACCACCAACTACAAGGCAGATCAACAACTTACAGGCTGATCAACAACTACCAGACTGACCAACATACTTACACTGCCTATTGATCTGAAGTCTGGTAATGAGTTTGGTTCTGAAATAGCAAGACTGTTTTCTAGYTGAATACCCTCTTGAATGGCTAAATCAGAAAGAATGCAAAATGAGGAAGAAATAAAGGGATAAAAAAGAAATCAATCAAATTCATAACAAACCAAAATCACTTAATATGTATTACCATTTTCTTTAATAGTACTGATGAAGTGTGCGCCTCGTTCCGAAGGCTTCCAAGATGGGTTTCTTATCTACAGTCAAAAAACATAATGACAGYTACTAAYCTGTGTAGCTAACCTACAATACCATGCACTTTTGTCTTTCTACAAGCTAGTAAACAATTTTTTGAATGATAAATGTTTCAGYTGTACATACTGAAAARTGCAGGAGGGAGAGTTCTGTTTTGCCATTCTCTGCTTGTTCATACTGGGTTGCTTCTGACAGACCACCAGACAACCACTTAAGAGAAAGAACAACCATTTAGAGAGTTAAAAAATATCAATTTCAAAAATTCAATTTCTCCAGAATAACTTACATCCGGATTACCATGCTTCTTGACATCAAGTTGAGCAAATGAGCAAACATCCCCAACACCTACAACCTCTACGGTAAAGTTACGATAAAAGTCTACAATATCTAATGACTTGTGACGAACACTGAAGCACAGCAGAAATGGAGTCACAATGGGGCTTATTAGTTCCTCCACTACATTCACCTACAACAATATGAACCAGCTGGTTAGTCATGATAAAAAATAATTGAAAGGGAAGAAGGAAAGGAAAGAAACAAAAATGAGAAGGAAAAAGAAGAGGATATGACAAATAATTAATTTGATAAGTAAAAAAGGAMGACATACCAGTCTATATTGGAATAACTGTGCAAATTGGTCCCTAACCTAATGACAAATAAAAACATTCAACTCATGTCCAATTCCCAGTTAACAGACTTAACAATCTAACCTCAGTTGTATGAGCTTTGCCTTTCCATTCATCGGGAATATAATGTGTATAGGACAAGATCTGCTTCATTAGTTGCTCAGGATTCCAGACTAAGTTCTACAAGTCAGATATGTTTGTAGGAATTTATTATTTCATGTAAATATCAATTATAATATTATAAGATATACTATACAAGAAGCATATCAAAGAAATAGAAAACCGAATAAACATGGTTGATTAAATATATTTGAATATCGCATGTACGATTTGATTCTACCTCATCTGGGATAAAAATGTAGCAGGCTYGTATGAGAACACCTGCAACAATACAAATTACAATCTGTGATTAGTGTGTGTGTCTCAATTGACAGTCATTTAGTAAGCAGACAAACCTAAGCCAGCTATGATTGCCAAGATGTGTTCAGCCATTAAAACATCTTTATCAATAATGGTCAATACAGTTAGCACTGCAAAAATTGCTCCAGCAAAGAATACTACATTTCTGTGAAAGTCAAACATGAATAAATTAACATCATTATCCCTAGTTTGCTCACTAACCAAGATAGTTTTATAAAAATCCAAGTACTAAATGTGTGGTATTGTGGTTTACCTTGCTACTATGGCTGCTAAAGGTGATGTGAACAGATTCATGTATTTGTGTGCAGGCTCATAAGACTTGCTTAACCTGCAATGATCTTTCATTAGTGAATGTGGCAGCCTAAATGTGGTTATCAGACAAATTTTATGATGGACAACAATCCCAAATTTGTGCACTTAAGTCAAACAGTGATTCAACAATGATCACAATGATGTGAAGTTTCTTCCTATAACCACTAAACCAGAAGTCTTTATCAGCCAATACATAAATCATTCTAGTAAAATKTACCTGGCCTGAAATTCATGGTCTAATTCATTGAAGTGTCTAAAGAAAAGTCTGCCATATGGTGACCTGAGAAATAATGTAATTAATAGTAACACTCTCTTGGTGCCAGCTGCAATATAGCCTAAGCTTCATTAGCGTTTACCCATAAACATTGTCTAATTTGGACGCAGACTAGCTGCAACAAGGACATCTTTGTCAACTACAAAACAACTTACCAGCGTCTTGCTCCTAGTGCATCAGGAGCTCTTTTGATCATCTGAAAAAAAAGAGAATGATGACAGCTATATGTTTTGGTACAATTGCTTTCTAATCTTTCTTACCTCAGCATAGCTAAAAAATGAATACAGTACAATCCACAGAAGAACAAATGGACAGAGGAARAAGTTAGCTACTCCAATCCAAAATATACGCCGAGACAACCTTAAGAATAAACAAGACACAATCATTCAACTCAACAAAATAAGCATCAATCAAATATCTATGGCAAGTGGCATAAAATGGTTGGCATTCTTGCCTAGACATTCTTACATATTGTGACAAATTTAGGTTCTTCAACTGAGATAGGATTAAAAAAGTCCAGGCAATTAGTTCCAGCTCAGTTCCAGTTTGCATTAACTCTGAAATCCTATTTGCAGCAAATATAATCATTTTAAAATATAACATAAAGCTAATCTATATATATTTTTTACTGACCTGTCTGCTAGTACTGTCCTGAAAATATAAAGTTTATAATTAGATTCAAGTAAGACATGTGACGTACATGACATGCTATATATTTTATTACCTGTTACTAAGATTTTTGTACTCATCRCCTAATTTCCAGTTATCTTGGAATGGAGACCCAGGCCCCCAGAAAAGAATCATCTTTAGGTTGTATTTCATTCCTTCTGTCAAGAAGGTTCTAGAGCAAAAWATGAGTTTTGAACAATGTGTTTACATTGCTAAATTGAATGATAATGAAAAGGTTTCAAAKTGAATATTATTTTTTTAAATAAATTAAACACATTTGCACTGAGTACATCAATACAACAATGTGCTCACCTCTGTCCAATGAAAGGAAACCTATAATTACATGGGATTACACCCTTATTCTGCATGGCAACAAAATAATTTTTCCATCTTAATATTCGATGGTGAATATCTGAAATTAAAATTATTTCACAAATTAAGAAATAATTACACATTTAGAAAATTAATTATAAGCCTAAGCTAATGTACCTAATTCTGTTAGTTCCTCTTTATGGACACACATTTGATGAATCTTCTGTACTTCAATCAATCTTCTTTGGACATCTTGCCATTGTAGATTTAACAGCTCACTCTAAAATACATGTATCATAACAGTTTATTCAAACTTGCTGATATTGAATCATTAAAAAAAAATGTTCAATTCACCTACTGGGTCTATTACCTCAGAAATCTGAAGCGCATCTTTGTAGAATGATCTTATTTCCAGTAACTTAAAAAAATAGACTACCACCCTAGCCAAACGGATCAGCCAAAAGAGAAGTGCAATGACCAGGCACACAACTATGGCTGGTTCCATACTATTAGAAGAGAGCATCCAGTAAGCAATGGGGCAAAGTCATATAAATATTTAAACAGGCAGGCCCRCAMTGTTACTTACTGTTGTACTTTATGAAAATGGATCACCTCTGTGAACTTTGGATCACGGAGTCTAAATAGCTTTTCATAATCCACACATAGAACAAGGAAAGATGTGAATAACACCACAAAAGCAAATTGACTGGAAAATAACAACAACAACAAATATTTATTTTATTTTTAAGAAATGAAAAGTCTGTTATCATGTGATAGCAGTTAAACTTTTAAAAYGAATGGTTACTTACATGAGAGCAAAGCATTCAGTCAGTAAGATACAGGCAAATCCATTGTGTTGATGGTATTCATATAAGTGACTACTATTAAGGATGCATATCTACAAATTTGATAAATGCAGATATTTCTAATTTATATGTCTCAAAAGTTTTCTAGAAAATGCTGTTATACTTCCAAAAAAATAAAAATAAAATAAAGTCTGTGCATGTCTTGGACAGCACGAGAATTCAATATTTAGTGCATTAACAAGGATATTCTAATGAAGAATTCATCCAAATTTTCAATGTGATTCCACCTTCCTGAAATGAAATGAAATAATGTTATTTAATATGATGATCAGGAAATGCATGATTGAGCAATATATTTTATATAGACCAAACAGATTAGAGAAATTCTGTCAATAATTTGTAATGATAATAATATTTAGGTTATAAGCACTAATAAATGCATGAGTTGACAGTCATTTATATTATTTTTYAAATAATAATAGTGGGCATCGACCGTTTGTATTGTGTACTTATATCGTCCTAAAATTATGGATATGCTCAATATATCGTACATGTCTTGTGATATCATATCGACATAAGCTTACCTTTTTCAGTTTCTCCGACACCTCTGGTACCGATGTGAAATCCCTGAGGTGGTAAGTCTTCTTCAGGGTCTTCAGCGGAGTTTAAACGTTGGTATTGGGTATTAAATCCCGCCATTTTTGGCTAACCAACCGATAAACAAGAGATGATTGAACTGGTACCAGTTCTAGTTGGGACGAAAATATACTTTGACAATATTTACAGCACTGCACTTCATCTCCTCACTCCTCTAGCAACAATAATTCTTAAAACCTTGCCATCAGGATATTTCCAACTTGAATTCATTTACAAGGAAAATTCAAGGCCTAAGTGCAAAGAAAATTCATCTTGCGTCACAACATCAAAATCGACAGTATGATGAACAGCTCAGTTTGAAGGTATCAAATACGAAGGATAAAAGTTCCAGGATGACGTAATGATAGGTGGCTTAAAAACTATGGTGTTTTTTCTCGATGTAATTCCAAGAATAGTTCACATTTTCAGCACGACTTCGACTTTTTTCCCTGACCTCGAGTTTTGTCATTGTTTACGTCGTAATACGCATGCGTCAATCTAAACCCAGTCCRCAAAAGAAATTAGCATACAAAGGAATCCCATAGATTRACGTTCTTTATCATCATATGAAAAATATATCCAAACAGTTAGATCGCGCAAATTCATTTACTAGTATTATATTACACATACATGTGTATGTGGTGTTGAAAAAAATCCTGTTCCAGTCTCGAATCCACCATTGTGGATGTTGTGGAGCTACAAGCTTCGATTTCATCAGACGTCACTCCCTGATTTTAGTTGCACCTGTTAAATATTGAGTACAGTACAGCACTGTTTCATGTATCAATTTTATAGAATATTAGACTCGATAACTCACAAAATACTGACTCATAAAATTAATATATACAGTCTGGTCAGATTGTCTGAGCCAGTTGACTTAATTTATACATGCAAACAATAAAGCGTGTCTTAAATTTGACTAACAAATTACGTTGCTTTGACAACAAGGAGAACAAATACACGCAGCGTATTTACTCGATCAACACAGAGAGCGTAGCCATTTTCAGAGTGTTATCTTCAAGAACTGACTACACTTCCATTTTCAACATGTCTGACATTGGATCTGAAGAATTTGATGAAGATGAAGGCATCAATTTAGGGGTGAGTTTAAATGAAAACTGATAGAGAGCGGTGTTACAATTGCCGTATGGAATAGAATACTTGGGTAAATTTTTCTTCCAAAAATTCTCGCTCAATAACTCATGATAGAAAACCATTTCAGTGCAAAAATACATGGCGACTTTAAACGTAAAATATCCGTGGATATAACGGTGGCAAATCATCTGATAATTGATGTCATTCAGATTTATTTGAAAGAGTAAGGGTTGATTGCTATATCATTGAAAACATTGTTTGCTCAAAACAAATGCTATAACTTTATTTACATTCGGATGAGAAATGTACTCTATGAATCGTTGCTCATTCCATTCCAATGCCCACCATGTCAGCCTCGTTTTTAAATCAAAGTTTTTTAAGTCCAAGTAATTAATGTCAGTATCAAATTCTGACGAGTACGTTATGGACCATTATGGTACTTTTAAACAACTCTTTTCTGAGCATTATTCAAATATTTACGTTGACATATGTTTTATAACAGAGTTACGAAGGCGACAGAAATGCCGAGGAAGAAAGACATGGTTTTGGAAAAGCAACCCTTCCTAATGGAGACACATACGAGGGCCAGTACGAACATGGCAAACGACATGGGAATGGAACCTATCGTTTTAAGAATGGTGCCAAGTATGTAGGGGAATATTCCAAAGCAAAGAAACATGGCCAAGGCACATTCTGGTACCCGGATGGATCACGATATGAAGGGGACTGGGTTGAAGATAAAAGAAATGGCCATGGTATATATTACTATATCAATGGCGACACATATGAAGGAAACTGGTACGAGCACTTACGACATGGCCAGGGAACATATACATACTCCTCAACAGGGACCAAATACATAGGTACCTGGATAAATGGCAAGAGAGAGGGATCTGGTGAATTGGTTCATGCTAATCATCGATACATTGGCAACTTTGCTGAAGACTTCCCTAAAGGCCTTGGCAAATACAAGTTTGATATGGGATGTGAACAGCATGGAGAGTATGTACTAGAGGAACAAATTCAAGAAGGAGACACTGAAGAGGATGAACAAATAACTATCATTACACCAAAATGGAAATGTTCAAGAATAACTGAAATTGAAAATGCTGTATATAACTAATATCTGTTGTTTATTTAATTAGGTCAAAGCAACAAGAAACCATTCTACTCCTTCTAACACTGATTTGTATATGAAAAAATAAATATAGTAAACAGCATACATTGCTTGGTCCTTTTATTTGCATGCTCCAAAATGGTATTTACAAAACATACTCCTTTCTTGCTGGTTTTCATGTCTTGTGACGTCAATATTAGTGTTCATAAGGTGGTTGCAGATTCACATTGTGCTAGATATTTATATCAGTTTATGCCCAAAGTATTCTAGAAAGATAAAAAACATTAGGTCTTGCAACTGTGATAGTGTTTAGAGAGGTAGTCCTTGTGATGGTTTAGGGTACATGCCCCCCAAAGATTTGTAATCAGTTCTGTTCCGCTATTTTCTAGTTATAGATAGTCAATGGGGATGTGTACTACTCCATATTAAAGTTCTGGAGAAGTTGTCCTTAAAACTTTTCTGTCTTTTGTATTTATGGAGGAAAAAATTGAAATCTACGATTTTACTATTTGCATCATCCAAATTTACCTGATTATTACAGGTTTTCACTACATGCCCCTACCAATATTTGACAAATGTAGATTGTTCATAATGAACATCAAATGCAGGCTTTACTCACCCAAGCAATGTTGGCTCTGGCATTCCTGGATCTCCCCCCTTTTTAAGGCCTGCAATGACATATAAGCTTATTAGGTTGACCTAAATAGATGCACACAATGTAATCTTATCTTCAAAACAAACTGAAAAGAAATACTGCACAGGATGGAAAAAAAGACTCGTATCTTTATTTTGCACGATGTCAAAGGTTAATCCAAGACTGTCCCTTTGCAGAAGGTATAGACATGCCACATAATATTTCAAGCCAAATAATGTCAATGGGTTTCCTGTGGCAATATGGAGTTTTCGTAATGTTCAATACACAAACAGTCGCATCTTGAGAATCTGACCATCTACCGCTTGTGGAATGTTACAAATATTTGGTACATTTTAGACGAGATCGTGGACTCATGAGAAAATGCAACTTACGAGAAATGAGTTAGCCCTGCTTTACGCTGAAATGTTGCAAACTGAAACTGGAGATCAGTGACAAGTTGTAACTCACCAAGATAGATGATTAATGGTATGAAGCCCCAATGAAACATAGTCTTTGAATAGTTTAAAACTGTCTTCACCCTCTTCTTAGTCTCTGGTCGCATTTTAACCATTTTGTTCCTGTTTAAAGCAACTTTAAATACTGGTTTTATCAAGAGCTCTCCACAAATTTCTTCGTTGGTGCAAGCACGTTTTTGACTCAACCCAGTTTGCCGTCCACTAATAGACGAAGGGAATGGTAACTAGTTACTTCCCGCGCGCATATTTAAAGATATTTAAATCGAATACAATATTCTGGATGACATTACTATGCCATCAGGATATGTCTACCGAAATCTATTTTATTTGTATTTGATATTTCTTTATGTCGGATTACAAAAGATTTTCTTCATATTGTAGGACGTCAAAATAATTTCAACTTTTACCCCTCCTTTGACACACAGAAAACACAATGTTTGAGGAAAACTAGTTTCGTCTATTCGACCTTATCAATTCCTCTACAACTGTTGTATACGATAAGATTTTCTAAATTTCATTTTGTGTCAGAGGTTTTGTATAAAACAAAACTAGTTTTCCTAAAGACCCTCTGTTTTGTTGCATAAAGGATTGGGAACAAAAAGAAATTGAAAATGGTGGTCAGTAACTGCAACTAATCAGAATGTTCGAGTGAATCACTCGACCAATCAGAAACAAGCAAAAATACATTTTGAATTTCAAATCAAGAACAAGGTCTAACCAATCTGGTACCCCGAGCCTTTGTTTTCTTGGCCTGCGCCAAAAATGTAATGTTTGTTGACTGCGATGGCCAAGAAAAATGAAGGCTCAGGGTACAAGATTGAGGTCTAACAGGCTTTGCGCCCAGGGGTATTTTTCTGGGATTGGGGGACAAGCGACAAAAGATTACACCTTGGTTCCCAAGGATGCTTATTATAGAATTTGGACAATACAAATGTATCTAAAAGGTGGTACAAAGCACTAAATAATATTTTCAGTGCTTATTTTTCATTTTTTCAAGTTCAGAATTTTTGCATATATTGTATGAATGTATCAACTAACCAAATTTTACCATTTCATGTAAACTTAAATGCTTTAAACATGATTATGACAAAATTACAACAATTTAGCCAGTCATTTTGCTATAACTTTATTCTATATACATACATGGAAAATATTACACAAAAATGTTTTTTTGAATTTGTGTATTTAAAGGTTGATCACAGGCACCCTGAGGATCCATAAATTTATGTATGCTAATATAATACATATATATATAACATAGTAAAATAGTAGAGTGTCCTTCTACCCTGGATCCATCCCTGTTCCTTCACAAGTGCCTATCTGTCAAATTTGTCACATGTCTTTATCATATTGTCACTGAATACATAACAAACAAAGCCTAGGAAATACTATTAAGGCTATTAAATATCATACATACTGTACTATCATTATAATTGCATAATTATTTTGCATTAGTTGCAACAAACTTATTAAATTAAGTGAATGACATTAAGCGTTTTTGCCTACTATAATAATCATTATTGAGTGCTTTTGTAATGTATTAACTACTTATAAAATATAAACAACTCTCTAGTTCCTTCACATTGTAATATGATGATATTATGGTATTGTACATGATTGTCTAAGTCAGGCACCACAAACTATTAGAAGTTGCCTGAAGAGACTACAAGCATTACAAAGAAAGGACTGGATTTGGATTGCTGTCTTCATTAGATCCTGGTCAATCTATTTCACTATCCACTGGATAAATCATTATCCTGAAGAAATTTTTCTTGTGAAAAGTTAAAATTTAATGTAAATGACTCTTCCAGATATGCTTACGACATAAACCAGAAGTAACTTAGGGATTGAAGAAATGTTCTTTTCATACAGACAAGCAATTGTTCTTTAATCCAGATGAATGGAATCCCTTTATATTTACTATCTAAACACCTCAAGGTCCTTAGGCCTCATTTCTATTCCTTTGTTTTTTATTGTAATTCACTTCTGACTTATGTCATAAGCATTGATTGAATCAAGTGAGAGGCATACTCAGACTTTCTCTTCTTTTCAAGTTGTGTTGGATAAAAAATGTCTTGCCATATTCATAAATACTTATCATGATAGCACATGCAGGTGGGACCTTGGCCATTCTGGGAGCAAGACCTGGAGATTAAAGAATACAACGGTCATCATCAAAAAACATCTTCACTTAATAAAACTAAATTTAACTGCTGTCACAAACGTGAAACCATGCACATATATATCGCAATTTTATCTTTTTAATCCAGTCACTGATGACCTGCAAATAAACTTGAAAACCCTTTTTCTCTGTAAAGCTTCATTAATATTGATGCTGTGAAGGGGAGTCTTTTCGGAGAACCTACAGAGCAATACAAACTATATTAAAATGCACAACTACTATTGATGATTCATTACATTGTACATGGATGTCTCCTTTGATCTCCTTCAAATCTGACAGTGAATGCATGAATGTGCATTACACCATACCATGACCATCAGTGAGAAAACCAAAAATAATATTTGGTAATTATATGAACTTACTGAATTCCATTTCACCTAATTCCATTTGACGGTGTGTTTTTACAACATCAAAAGGCTGAGTCAATATTGCTGCTACCTGAGAAAACACAATTCAACTCAAAACTTGTCAAATACAGTATATGCATAAAATGCCTAGTTATTAGATTGTCAGTACAAATTGTATTCCAAATTGAAAAATGGTACTCACTAGTCCTGAGCCAGCACCACTGATGAAAGCTGTCCAAAAACCTGGTTCAGCAGTCCTACTACGCAAGAATTCATATCCAGTCCAGTAAATAGCTAAAAAAACAACATATACAATTATCAACAAAAATGATTTTAATGTGCTTCAAATATCAAAATGCACACAGGTACCTGAAAAAGGCAGGTCTCTCAGCAGTGTTGGACCAAGTCCTTGCCATAACGAGAAAACACCTCCTTGTTGAATAGCAGTCCTTATAACACTTCCTAATTCTACAAAGTAATCAATTGAACACATGCAGTGTGATTAGTATAGTCTCCTTCTCAGCCTACCCTTTGGTCAAGCTTCCTGTGACAGAAAGGATAGCCTGTGAAGGAGACTAAGTTGACTTGTTTAGGGAGTATGATTGCCAGTCCAAGTGTATTTGAAGGGATATAAAGATTAAAATATTAAATTGGTTAAACAGGGATTATATTTACCTTTGTATTTGTATCCACTTCTTGACTGTAACTTGGTTCTTATCATCTCAATTGGTGAAATAATTGTCACTGATATTGCTGTTGAATAGGCAATATCCATTGTAATTTCAACTGATCAAATAATGGATAGATTAGCCAACTAATTACACAATTAAACTTTTATCACATATTTAGTCTTAACCAATATTGTGTTAATTATTGTTATTGTTAAGATATTTACTCCAAGCATTTAAATGCATTAAAATGTCCATGCCCGATAAGATAATAAATGTTACTTGCTTCGTGAGCTGCTGCCACTTAATATTGGTGACCATACATTAGTTTCTCCCTGCTGAAATCCATATAAAACCTTCAACTGGTCATAAAGTGTAAAATATATCATAGTATTTGGGACAGCCATCACACTGAAAAAAAGCCATTAAAATATATTAACAGAGTAAAYTCTTGGTCAAATCAGTTAATCAGTATGCGTAAAATCTTACAGAGTTGGTGGAAGTCCTCTCCATAATGAAATTGTTCCTTCATGTCGAACAATCTTGATAAATGCATCCTATTAGATAGAACAGTTCAATATTTTAAAAAATACCAGCATCTGTCAGTCAGTTATACATTTAAACAGACACCTCAAAACATTTTTGATTGAAATGTGCATTTTTTAAAACCAAAACACTAACCAACGAACTGGAGAACTTTAAAGGTGGAACATGGCCTAAAGGGTTATATGGTGATCCAAGCATTGAACACAAGCAAAGGTGATCCATTAAACCATTGCAGAAGATATAACAACGATCTGATAAGTAAAAAAGTGATATCATTTATCCACATTCAATTAATTTCTTTCATTCAATTCTAAATTGTTTAGATGAGTTATGGAAACTATGGATACAAAATTTGATGCTGTTGAACTTGATAATTTTTATAAAGTAATTCACTTACTCTGCACAGCAGTTTTTGCTTGAGCCTGTAGCCTCGTTTTGATAACATCTAGTGGAGTCACTACAAAATCACAAACAATATTTTTTAGAATGGTAACACAATGGTCTGACTGTTGTATTACTTTAATATTATGAGTCTCAATTAAAACCCTGATGTTTTACAGAATCAATCAATGTATAACTCAAAGGCTGAATGATATGTTTTCTTCAGCTTCCTTATGACATAATGGTCTTGAAAAGTGCTGTAATTGCAATTCCATGGTATTATACAGAGGTATTGCACATACCCCCACCCCTCTCCCTTATGCGACCCCTGATTGAAGCTGTTTTCAATTTTACTAACTTTACACATATTGCATGAAACTATAAACTGCATCGCATAACATCTTCGCAATATGGAGCAAATAGAAGTAAACAAGTAGCATACCAAATAAAGAAGTGACAATAGCTCCAGAACCCGAAGCAATCATTTGCTGTACTGGTGTAATATCTCCCCTCGTAAGAGAGGTCATCCTGTACACACTATTATTTAACTACTGGACGACTGACAAGGTACATTTTTCCATATGAACGTATAAATCAGACAATATGCGTTACGTGCAGATAAATAACTGCTTGCTTCACTATCTGCAGCCATTTTGAGTCACATGGATAATTTTCCCAGAATGCACTACCACAGGAAGCCCATAGGTTCATTAACTTCTCAGCAAGTGAGCATATACGACCGTGTGTATTTTTTATTTGTTTTTATATTTTCATTTTTCCTTACTTTCCTTTGTAGACTCTCTATAATTTTGTATCTGTTAATTACCAACTACACTAAGCCGCTGGGAGTCTATTGTCAAGAATCCCCTCCCCTCCCCCTCCACATTTATCAGCGACGAGAGCTAAAAACAGTTGTGCACTAATTAAGCTTATCATGGATTTGGAGAAATTCCATTAACAAAGAAGGTAAGTGTTATTTTACTGGTATATGTGTCCGTCATGAAATTATATATTAGCCTGTCAACTTGAACGAGTGCTGTAAATCTGGTAAAAGGCTCATCAATGCCCGAAAGGTGCCAGTCGGCCATATTTTTGATGGAGATTAAATTGTCATGCTGGCCGCTTGTATTCAAAGAGAACAGAACTTTGTCATGGCTATTGTTTTCGATTTAATGCGCTACATGGTCTTTTTTATGTTCAATTGTTTCGCTACCTGTGGTCTCTTCAAATTTCTTTGTGTGATCGCAGCTCTGTATGGTAGGGCCTGTTATACTTGAGACATGATCTCTAGTCTTCACGAATTATTTATACTTTCACAATTGAAACACGGCATTGCTTTGCTTATAATGACCTTCTGCATTCCTCTTAACATATAAGGCCTTGAGACTCTTGATGAATAATTTTTATAGGTTGGGCGAAGGGAAAAGTGAACTGTTCTTTTCCCTTTGTTCAAAATGTTGGCATACAAATGTAACATATTTTCTGAAAAAATTCCTTGAATTTAGTTTACTTATGGTCAACCCACATACAAGTGCAATATTATATTTATTTTTAAAATTTATTTTCAGATAGCTACAAACATAGCAGTTACTTTCAAATTTGACAAGAATTCTCAGAAATCCTATGGTAAAAGACAGGTGTTGGCTGAAAGATTGATATATCACAAAGCAACTCATGAGCCTTGGATTCCATAACAAGAAATTATTTATTGTTGCTATTGTGACGTGTGCATTAATGCTCATCTTTCTTTATGGGTTCAATTTCCACTACAAAGGATTTCAAGTACCAAAACCACCTCCATACAAGAAAATGGAAATCAAGAATGACAATAATAAAACAATACAGTTTCCAAATTCTTCCACTAAGGTTAAAATGCTGCCGAATGCAATCATTATTGGTGTACGTAAAGGAGGAACAAGAGCATTATTAAGAGGCTTGGCTTTACACCCAAATATACATACAGCAACAAAAGAAATTCACTTCTTTGATAGAGATCAGAATTATGCCAAAGGGATAGAATGGTACAGGAGCATGATGCCACAGGTTTCTTCTGCACCTGGACAGATAGTAATGGAAAAATCTCCATCATATTTTGTCACTCCTGGAGTTCCTGAAAGAATCTATAAAATGTCAAGAACAGTCAAACTCCTTGTCATTGTAAGAAACCCAACAAAACGAGCAATCTCTGATTATACACAATTAAAAGTTAAAAATTCCAAATTACCTTCATTTGAAAAATACATAACCTCAGATGAGAATGAAAGTGTACTTGACTCTGATAATAGAATTGTACAATGTGGCTTATATGGCAATCACCTGAAGAGGTGGCTTCTTTACTTTCCAATCAGCCAGATTCATTTTGTTAGTGGTGAAGCACTTATAAATCATCCAGCTCAAGAACTCAAAAAAGTTGAGAAGTTTTTAAAGCTAAAACCAGGTATTCATGAAAAGGACTTTGTGTACAACAAAACAAAGGGATTTCCATGTTTTAGAAGAACATCTTCAAATGCACACTTGATTTTCTCATGTTTGGGTGCAACAAAAGGGCGTGTTCATCCAAAAGTTCGCCAGGATATTATAGATGCTTTAAATGAATTCTATGAGCCACACAACAAGCTGCTGTACAGGATGGTTACTAGAGACTTTCATTGGAATAACTAATCTATATTACAACTACCACTTCCAATAGAATATCTAATAAATACTATAGCTATCACTTCCAATGGAATATTTAATCAATACTATAACTATCACTTCCATTGGAATAACTAATCAATACTATAACTACCACTTCCATTGGAATAACTAATCAATACTATAGCTACCACTTCAATTGGAATAACTAATCAATACTATAACTACCACTTCCATTAGAATATCTAATAAGTACTATAACTACCACTTCCAATGGAATATTTAATCAATACTATAACTACCACTTTCATTAGAATATCTAATAAGTACTATAACTACCACTTCCAATGGAATATTTAATCAATACTATAACTACCACTTTCATTAAATACTATAACTATACTATTCCTGTTTTCAATGGGTATATTATAAATATGACAATGCTGAATTTCTTTACAGGAGGAAAACATACAGAGCCTTTTCAATCTGAGAACCTTTGCAAGTGTTTGTTTTGTTTTACTAATGATCTGCTGTTGAAAGTGGCTTTTTCATTGGTTCAAAATCAAAGATGGTGAAAAACGTATGAGAGAAAATTGCGCAAATGTTCTCTGATGCACATGGGCCTTCAAACTCAGGCTATCAAGCAATTTCCTATCATTTATTAGTTTTAATTTACACTTTTATATACAGAAAAATCAGATCTTTACAATATTGATTCAAATGAATGTGGGATTCCTGTGTTAATGTGTAAGATAGTCATGCTGTAGTTGTCATGGAGATACTCTGTCCAGTAAAAGTTCAGCAGCAATTGTCAAGTCATTTATATCAGGTTGTTTAGGAACAACAAAAGGACTGTGATCTCTGTGAGCTTTAAACAAGTCAGATGGTGCTCTGCATACAAACTCTAAACATTCCATTGGTCGAGGAACATCCTCCTCAGGTCCTAAAGAGAACAAAAGACAATAGTGTTGTTTGTTAATATGACAAGGACAAACCTTGTACGGATCTAAATCAGCCTTTTCATACCCCATGTCAATAATACACTTTCAAGCAATGTTAAGATACTACATACCTGGCAGAAATATTGCTGGATCAAAGTGAGAAGGGTTGGAAACGGTAGGGATTAGCCAAGTAATTACAGCACTTTTCTGTGCAAATTCATCTTGTAAGAATCCTCTTATTTGTGCAAAATATATGTCACCATCAATGTCTTCTACTGAAACAACATCACCAACTTGATACAAAACATTCTAAACCAAACACACAAATGTTAGTACTGATAAAAAAGGATACAAMAAACAAGGGTCTATTATTTTGAAATGTCTGTCTGTTGTTCATCTGAATGTAGTACTGTAATGGTTTTGTTCAAATACATGATGGTATTCACCTTGGTTTATGACTTTTATGTGTGATGAAAACTTTTAAACCCTTGGGTTTTGTGAAATTGTAGCCTGAGTATCAGTCTCTCTCGAAAGGGTTTGGGGCAGAGAGAGAAAGGGGAGAGAGCCTGACACAATCTTCTATCAAGAGCTGTTCYGCCCCCTTGCAATGCGTGATGCGTGACCATAAATTCCAGCCAATTCCAGTTCATTGGCTTTGATGGTTATATGTCTATTACATGACTCTAAGGTCGCAGCTTTTATGCTGATTTTTACCAGCTTCTCAACTTGTGGATGTCTAATAAGCTCTAGAGGATTGATCACTATAATCTTGAATTGTTTTACTATGTTACATTTATCCCTTCATATGGCTTAGAAGAGTTTTGGCAGAATTTGGTAGATTGAACTTTTTCCATAGCCAGCAGGAAGCACACTGAGCATACACAAAGCATACACTCGGCTTGTCCTGGCTTAAGATTTATTCCCAGGATGTCGAGAGTATCTTTTAAAGCTTTCCCAAGCTGTCTTCATTTATGTCAAGAGCCATCGGTGTTGTTTGGTAACATAATATAATATATATTTTACTTCCTGTCACTTCCTTTGTCCTCTAAACCAATCAGCGAGCGTTTCGGCCATGAAACAGCTGCAGAACACAGCTCTCGATAGAAGATTGTGTCAGGCTCTCTCTCCTTTCTCGCTCTGCCCCAATCCCCTTCGCRACAGCCTGATACTCAAGCTAATGAAATTGAGAATCATTTAACAAGTAAGCATCAACAAACAACTTGATTTGGCAGTTAATTAGGCTAGTATACTGTAAGTAAAATAATGTGATTACTATCAAAGCATGGCAAAAACCACAATAAATAATGACAAAACAATTTCAATTCAACTTAACATTCTGTCATTAGTTTATACCTTGAAGTATAGTCTGTCAGATGCAACCACAGTGGCAACACCATCTGGAGATTTGTAGGGCTGTGATGATAAAAGTAAAATATCTCACTACATGCCATTTATAGTTTCAGTATTATATGGAATAGAATACCATTTGCAATTTTTCTCTCTGACGAGAAGAGTCGGATGAATTGGTATGTCAGTAGTATATTAAAAGGCCCAATAAAGAATATCCTAGGATGTAAGCTTACTGTATTTATTTCGATTTTCAGGTMGAAAATAACTGCTGTAATCTTACTTTTCGCTTTATCTTGTGAATAGTTCTCCGTCCCCGTTCTCTTCCTCGTTCACCGCCTTTTCCATTCCAGTGACCTTTTCGTGATCCTGCCCTGATCCTTGCTACAAGCTTTCTACTCTCCTTAGAGCTCTGCCTTTGGGAACGGGTATTTGTAGTCACTCTCTTTAAATGACAGCTATTGCAAAGGGTTTCACTGTTTGACCCTTTTCTCCACATCAAAGAATGGTTAATTTTACAAGCCGCGCATTGAGGATCATCTCCCAGAGGCATTTTGAGCACGTTAAATAACTTAATTTTGCTTACTCGCGCTCTCCTTACTTGTCCGCCATTTTACTTTTGTTGGCGCATGTCAAATTTAGTAGTCCGCTGTGATTAGACAGGGTTCCCATAGTTGTCATTCAGATAGAATATAAAGAGGAATTGTACAAATTGTAATCAATGATTTTGATAAAATATGGGCCAATTTTGCTTTATTTTAATTTCATACCTAATCTAGTGAAGCTAAAAATACACAAGTTACTTGAGCTACCTGTGGGCAACGACACACTCATAAGCTATCTAAAGCCTGGTTTCCATATAATCGTTACAATCGCTAGGATCGCCACGATCGMCGAAAATTTCAACGATCGTAGCGATCATATGGAAACACTCTCCAGCGATCCTGGCGATCCTAACAATCTCGATCGCTGGAATCGCTAAGATTCTATCTCGGCGATCGAGGTTGCTAGGATCGCCAGGATCGCTGGAGAGTGTTTCCATATGATCGCTACGATTGTTGAGCCACATTTTCGGCGAACGTTGCGATCCTAGCGATTGTAACGATTATATGGAAACCAGGCTTAAGAGGCAAGTACCCTGAATGGCAATATATTAGTATTTAGAAATGACAACTTATACGCGATGTGCCCGATGCGTAACGTAGATAGCAAATGCATATATATGGTATAAGTGATGTAACGTATCTGGCATCGTCATTGACCACCTATGTTGCAACTGTAACATCATCWACGTAAGTGTCAATGACAACGCAACGCCAACGCAACGCAGACTAAATTGATCGCGGCAACTTCAACGTTAAGTGTCAACCTTAGTACATTAGTAGTAAACTAAGTGTCAAGTAGAAATCCAATGGCGCAATATTGAACGGTGCAATCTATAAAATGAGYTGGCAACATTTCTGGCAATCCGTATACTTAAGTGTCAACGTAAAACCACGGTGCAATCTGTAAGTAGCAACGTAACTGGCAATCGTTAGGAGAGCACTCATAATTAATAGAGGAAATGCCTGTGAAAGAAGTTATCACAGTACATATCCTTGCTGAGTAAGAAAAAAACCATAAAACTGAGAAAAAAGACGTTCCAATTGAATTCACGTCAAGTCGTTGATACTAGTGTGATAAAGCCCCTAAGTTGACATACMGGCTCATTTAATGCTGTAATAGTTTTCTACCAAAAAAAGTTTTTCACGAGTAAAGTCACTGTGAAGTAGCGTTGCACAGCAAATTACATGGAATTGTTGTTAATATAATTATTCACATGTCGCGGACTGAAGAGATAAAAAGACTTTGGTTATCACGGTGAACGGGGTGGAAAATGTGATTGTCAGTATTCATGTTTCATGATCGAGATAAAGTCTATTGTGATAACGAGACTATTTTAGCTTCTAGCCTTGTACACTGATGTCTTGCTACGAATTACTTTGTGAACCTATGAAATATTAAAGCTTGTCCAGAGGGATTGTTATTTATTTGTGCATAACATAAAGCAAATTTCAAACCGGTGTCAATTCACCTTGGCTAAGATGCATGTATAATCTATACAAACCCTTACAAATCCGGTATTATCGCTTTCTCATCTACTTTTACTGATGGGTAAAGTAAAACTACAACTGAAAAAAAACCTATATGTATTTCATTTTTGTTTTCATTCAATATTATTGATTAGGTAGTTGCAGGAAGTAGAATTTTTAAAAAAACTAGAAGATTCTCCTTCACTTTCTAGTGTAATAGGGAATCAACCGTGTACATCCAATGAAACATTTTTTAAATTCTCTTTGCTTTTCTTTTTCAGTAAATAATAAGTGGCTCATGATTCTTTGGGTATTTTTCTCTACTACACCTAAATGATTTTTGTCTCCTTATGATGTGTCTTTTGAAATTAAAAATTAAAGTTCGTCTAAAAATAACACCAAATCATTAAGCTTACGACCCATCGGTCAATAATAGCATTGTTAACGTTAACACGATTCATTGGAAATTCCTCCTTTTACAAGTGACAGGTCTATACCGGCCGTATTTCCTCGCTCACAAGCACTTTTAATTACGATCAATTCAGTATTCTACGCGGCAGAAGACTTTTATCAAAGATTCGTAGGCACCAATTGCGTACATCCCCTATGACGCATCAAATAAGAAGCCAATATTATGCATATGATTTTTGCTCCAGTTAACGGAACCATTCAACTTGGCTAAGCCTGATTGACTGTGGCAGTCTCAAAGCCCATATTAACTCGCCAGGAAATAAGAGACAAAACTTTGTAATTACTGACTCCGGTTCGACGAACACCAACAGCCGTTTGTGTGTGATCCATGTGAGTCCGTTATTGTTGTGTAGTGTTTTTAGTGGCTTGGTGGATGCAGTAGATGGTGATCAAAGCCACCGGCCTCTTGAGCAACCACGACTTTTACCATGCATAATTTGTTGATATGGTGATTTAAAGAGCCGATTTTCTCTTKTCATTGTGTCTGATGTAGTACGTATGTAAAATACATGTACAAAAATATTATAGACAGGAAAAAATCTATATATGAAGACAGAATCCTTACAGAAATTATTGTATTTTTGGATGTGGAGTCTAATCAATCGGGCGCTTTGACTGAAAGCAAACGTTTAAAACAGTGTTCATCACGATATGTAATGKCTACAATATGAATCGTACGACTACATTGTCATCGCCGACAGAAAAGGCTTTATATACAGCTATTCTTGGTCTTATTGCAGTATTTTCGCTTCTTACCAATACATGTGTAGTACGGATAATATGGAAGAACAAAAAACTTCATGGCTTGTGCTATTACATTTTTATTAGTCTGTGTGTTACACATATGTTGCTGTTATTTGTCAATATTCCCTTCATTATCAAGACTGTTTTCTACCCGTTGTCTAGGGTTGGCCATCATGTTTGTCAGTTTCAAGCGTTCGCTTTGAGTTCGTGTATGGTGGCTTCTATATGCGGTATTGCTATCATTTGCTGTATACGATGGTTAGCCATCACTAGACCATATCATTATAGAAACGTTTTAGTCAAGAAATGGCTGATTTTCCCAGTGGTTGGACTAGTCTGGCTAAATGCCACTTTATCCTCACTACCGCCCGTTCTTGGCTGGGGAAGTTACGGATATTACAACGAGAGGCACTTATGTCTTCATCGCTGGTCTCCGATGGATGCCAATCTAATGTCCTATTTGATTTTTTATTGTTTATGCGCCTTCTGTTTGCCTTTCTCATGTACCGCTTATTTTCAATTTTCAAGTCTTAGAGTTGCCAGGAAACAAACAAAAAGACAAGACAAAATGTTGACCAAGCGACGCATCAAAAGAAACCCCCTCAAGGCCCTTACCGCCAGCCTTTGCGTGCTTGGATTGTACCTGTTTCTATGGTTACCTCATGGAATCTTAGTTTCTTGGTGGGATATCCTCCACCCAAGCAAGACACCACCACCAAACCTCGAAAATATCAGTATGGTGATAGCGATGTGCTCTAGCTTTACCACCCCTTTGTGTTTCATTATGACCGACAGACTTCTCAAAAACAGTGTCATAAACTCTATCAGATCATTTCTTATTAAAAGGAATTTTCCTCAAGCAATAGCAAACTGACTAAATATCGCTACAAAGAGTTGCTATCGATTGCTGTTTAACTATGATAACCAACAACGACGCAAAATGAACATCTTGATAACACTTCTGCGTCAAGAGTATTATTCATTATGGAAATAAACCAAGCATAATTACAATATTCAACTGCTTGGTGAAACAGACATAGCATCGCTTGAGATAACTCACGTTTGTGATTATTGTGAGAATTATCTATTAGTTATCCTCACTGGGCGAGGAGGTCATTATAAAAAAAGCTATTCATTCAAATTTGTATTAAAAACAGCAATTACGTCTTCACTACTTAGGGATGAAAAAGATGAATAAAAAATTCATAGGCAGTATTGTCAATTAGCTGTTGATTTAAATGACGACTAGTTTCCATTGCTGAAAAGCTGTTACCGACCCTTGCCTACCAAACAGCGCTGAGATAAAATATTAATTTTTCATGTAAATATTGATGGGAAAAATGATGGATGTTTAGCTGTACAATATCAATGAATATCGCATCCTTTAGTAATGGTTTTACTCCTTTTATGCAATAAAAAGACCCCCAATTGACGCAGTCCATACTCATTTGTAAAGTAGCAGGTGTCTACTTTACTGTCGGATTTCTCTAAAAAAACCTTTCTTCTTACTGTCTATTTTCATCAATCTATACTTGTAAATGAAATGAAAAGAATAAAAAAACCTAAAGCGATGATATTTCATCAAGGCTTTCTATTGCAAACGCTATCTACCACTTGCTTTAAATTCCATTTTGTTTAATTAGAAATTTTCTGTGTGAAAACACGGTATATTTCATGCATTTAGAACCAATCCCAATCGGTTTTGATTTGTAATAGCGAAGGCTTAAATAAATATTTTCTCAACTTATATATTCATGGAAATGTCCTTCATGTTCGTTACTTTATTACTTCATTATTGAGACTGACATTTTCAAAGGCTTTAGGCAGTGATCATCTAATTAATGCCTATTCCTATATTCCCCAAGAACAACATGACCAGGCCTGGGTTTCAGGAAGCAATTTCAGGCAGCTCTTAATCCCCTTTTCCAGTCTTGTCCAAAAATCATAAACATTGAAATAAGGTTGAAATTTTGATGAGTTTAGAGAAATCCTAGCTGTCGTTCAAAAACTATACACAAAACTAGCACTAAAAGTTGCGCAATATCATTGTTGATTTTCATGACTGCAAGTTGGTCTAGAGAAGCCTAATCATTACCGACCACCAGCGTCGATGAGTGTTGTGAAGTTGACGTACAAACAATGATAACCAGTTTGTGTATACGATTTACTCCCTCGTCAAAAAGTACTCTTTATCAGATGTGAAAATTCATTATTCGCCAAGGAACTTAGTACCACCATTCAGATTTGCATCAGATGCAAATTTATCCACCGATTGCCGCCTTATCAGTCTACACCTTGAAAAAAAGACTGACGCACTAGGTTTGTCATTGTTGAAATTGAATAAATCGTGGGTCAATTGCTTGTTTGTCGCAGCCGTTCCTGGGAGATCCAGGAAAGGAAAGTTGATTCGCGTCTTTAAAATCTTGTTGTTGAAGCGTAACCATGAGTACCTACAGTTCGCACAGTGAAGGCTGGCAAGTTTTAGCTTTTAATGACTGAATAGTTGATAACTAGGATATTATTATTACATTTCATTATGCGCTAAATTTCTTATAGGAGAGTATACAAAAAACAACCTTCCCGACCCCTCTCATACATAAATACACTGCACATCTATGTATATGTTGTTCCAATTGGAAGCTGCAGTACATACTGTTTTCACCGAGAAAACATTCTTGTTCTTATTTTTCTTTGTAGACACTATCTCAATGTCCAGCATATATAAACGCGAATACGATCAGATCAACTATCAATAAACACGGAGATTTTTACTGACACTTTGTCATTTACTGGTCAGGAATTGGGAAGAAAACGATTATCAATTAAATAAACGTGTTTGCAACGCTAGATTTTGGAACGGAATACTTCTGCGGTTCTCGTTTGACGGGAAATCCCATCGGTTAGTTTATGCATCCTTGAAGGAGGTGGCCTAGGTACTAATAAGAACTACAGTGCCCAGTTTTCTATATTGTACATCCATTTCAAGAACAGCAATAACCACGTACAATTAGCGTGTTAGATCCATGTTCTTGCTTGTTTGGTATCTGCCATGGATGTCTGATGTCTGATAAACATATCTCGTCCTCACTATGAGCTTCCTTCCTCCATCTTGTTCGTCGATTCTGAAACCACGTTCGTACTTGGGCGTCTGTTAGGCTTATTTCTGCCGCAAGAGTTGAACGTCTTGACTTTGAGATGTACTTTTCGCTGGAAAATTCCTCTTCTAGGCGTTGGATTTGTTTTTGTGAAAACAGTGGTCGCTGTTTGTGTTTCTTGACCGACTTCCTTGGTTTTCGGACGTTGACAAAGGTTCCTAAATTAGAATAGTATTAATAAATGAATAAATCCTAAAAAATCCCTTCATTTTGTTTGAGAGCAGGAATAATATATACTGCACGTAAAGTCGCTACAATCGATAACCAACGCAAAGACGTACTATAATCAGTTGTCAATRAAAGTAATGAGTTTAAGCCGTTTCAGCATTCAAACAAATATGTATCTAGTATATTAAACTGAAACACAACAAAGTTCGTTAACCTAAGTTCTGATTTTTGTCATTGTTTTCATAGTAAAAATACTTCAACACTGCAATAGTCTTAGACAAGTCACTGCAATGTTGAAAACAGAAAATACCGCAAAAATGTGCTCAATTTATTATGGTTTGAAGCGATTCGTTTCCTTGATTGATGTTTTCTCTAAGATTAATTCATTTGGTATTTGAAGCCAGGCGTTTCCATAAACACCCATCTTTCGCGGTAGTCTTGTATTCATCTACGTTTGATAATGATTCACTGAAAGATATATATATATCGAACACCGATTCTTAACAACGCGAGGTGAGGATCAAGACGCAGTGATTTGTACGTCAAGTTATTCTCCTAAACCTTTATATAATGTTATTGTCTTTACTGTACACATTTGAGTGATTTTATGATTTGATCATCTACTAAGTCATTTAACTAATTGAATTCACACCTTACTGTAGACAACTAATATCCCTAGTAACTCATCGTTCACACTTAACAAGCGTCATAATGTCGCGTAACTTGTTGGTCTCAAGTATCTCCTACCACTGAAGGTGTTCTAAGATTGAAAACCCGTGTAAAGAGTTCCTTTTACGTTATATTAACACTGCACCACAACCATAAAATACTTTAAATAGAGGACAAACAAGAATTACAAGCAGGGGAACCGCGATTACAACAGGCTCAAAATACAAAAGACAAGAGAAGGAGAAATCCAGCCATTAGAAAATAGTTAGTCTTACATAGAATATACTGACTGGATTTTGTTTCTCAATAAATAGTTATATACTCTTTCCACTAATAGAAGTTAAAATAAGTCATTCCTCAAGTATAGGAAATTGGTAGAACAGTAATGTCTCAGCAATCGAAACTTTACCAAGAGATATTTATAACCATGATGTACTTGTTACGTCAACTAGCTAATAACCCACAAATCGTTTTATTAGTAGCAAAGAAATGAACTTTTAGTAACTATAAGAAAACGAATGTCCCCGTTCCCTCCACATACGGGACATCGTTATGCCAAATTCCTTTAACAGATAAAAATCCCACTTCAATGGCACCTCATTTTGTTGTTATAAAAAAATATCTTTTCAAAATTTTGCTCACTGTTGCTGGTCAAAACTGTTCTTTCCACTGACTTCATCGAAGCACCAACTAGTAATACCTAAGCTAAGAGAGTTTTGAAGTCCATGTACTTGGAGCAGCGCATTGTTGTATTTCAAGGACAACACGGGCAAGGAAAACATGGTTTATATTCGTATCATTAAAATGTGTTGAAGTTACAAGTGAATGTTTTCGCGGTTTGTCATGTAGTAATAAAGAGTGTGAAAAGATTCTCTTAGAGTCACCTCTTAAAAGGATTTAACAAGTTATTAAAGAAAAGCAATAAATCATAAATATTTCCAAATTTGAAAATTAGAGAGTGATTACCCTATCGACCTTACCGAGTGGAATTCCTTGTCTGCAGTAACGTGTTGCATAAATCCATGATGGTATAGCTGCATTATTGTCGTAAGGTAATGGCAGGTCCTGTACAGGCTGAGGTAGTCTGATAACACGACTCCCGATGTCCTTAGGCTTTGAGTCACTGCTATCATCCTCATCCAGGTTTAAAATGTTTTTGATCGAGAAGGGATGGTTAAAATGTCGCGTTTTGTTGACTGGAGTGAAGGCTGAACACGATTTTACGATTACCGACATATTGTTTGAGGTACGACGGAGACCCTCTTGTTGTGAATACTTGATAGCAGCTGTGGACGGCAAGATGATGATAGCCTACTAATGATGTATTGTTCAATCCGGGTCTTTTTAATTGGCTGATCCTTATTACATCAAATGCCTGCGGTTATCAATAGTACCATGATCAACGATAATTCAAATAAAACAACTTAAATTTATCGGAATTTATTTTGGTTCCAAATTCCCGATAAACAATACATGTAATTAGTTTAGTTCAGACTGTTACAGTATTTTAGAACATTACGTGTTCATTGTTGAACCGTGCGGCTTTCCGGTAGTCTAAGGTACTCGAGTTCGGAAGGAAACTCCTATATAGTTGAGAAAAGGTTTTGGGTTCATCACGGAAACTGCAGTTTGTAAAGCATTTGAAGAAACATATGACGACATAAAGAACAATTGTACAAACACGTCATTTTGTCTCAGCTGTGATGCTATTTTTGGCTCGTGCGCAAAATAAGCTTTTTAACTCACACATACGTAGTACATCAAAATAGTTTTACAACATAGAAATTATCGCCCAATGAAAGCCTAATTGCACCAGAAGAGTTGCGAAATGGTCTCAGAACAAAACGCGAGACACAGCATAGTACGGAAATGCCATGCACTTTCGTTGCGATGACCCCACAACAAGGATTCGAATGACTCTGTTTAGTATATATAGTCTAGTTTTAAGTACATATTAGAAAAACAACGCAATCAAACACACTAATAAGAACAAAATATCACTTACTTTTACAACTTTCTCTAAATCTCTGTTCCAAAAGATCATTAATATTTCACCTGATCATCTTTCCCTTGAACAACGTTTTACGTACCGAACTCTAACTGGAACCTTTTAGTGATTCATGGCATAACAGCGATGTATAACATGCAAAATATCAGTACAGCTATGGCTAATAAATATGACAGGTTTGATTGAATGTACTGTACTATTTCCTCCATACAATAGATAAAATATTAAGTTGGATTGGTGTTTTAGCGTGAATTGGAAATGCGGTTTTTGAAGGTCAAACGATCATCCACTCCAAAACCGCAAAAAAGGGGTTTTCACTTTAAATGACGTTTCACACCCTGAAATACCAAACTGCTTAGTAATGGTTAAAAAAAGAAATAATCATGGAAATGCCTAAAATCACCGGTCTCACAACCTGACGAGTTTAGATTTCAATAATTTGCAAGTTTTACTGAGTGAAGTGATGTTTATTAGACTGCGATACATAGTTTTTCCTGTACGTGAGTTGACAGATCAATTTACTATCATAAAACATAAATTATATTTTATGATTCAAAGGAAATCCCCTTTTCTTATCGACAAATCACAGCCACTTCATTGATTTTGTCCGTCAATATTGTGTTTTTGGCCGGCGTAAATTGTTTTTAGTTAATTTAGGGAGGAGCGACCCTTGTGAAAGTACTTCGAGGGAGTTGTTGTAGTGATCATTATTGATAGTTTATAAACATGTTTTTCCAATTGTCTGAACGAAATTAACTCCACCAAACACTTTTCCTTCCGGGGTCTAAAGCTAGTTCCGGAAAAGACGTTTAAAGATAGATTCCATACTCGATATTTGCCCAGACAGTCAATGAAATGGATACTAATAAGATTACTACAAACAGCAATATAGTGAAAACTGTTGATCGATATTGACTACCATCACAAATCATACTGAGAAAAAAATACTTATTTATACTAAATAAAACTATTATTTCTACTCTAAGATAAGAGACATCTTTCTTTTATCCTTCCGTCAACTTCCTTCAATTTGTATATCAAACGTCGATGTGAAATAAATAACAACAAAAGTAGTTTCTTAACTGCAGTTATATTCTTTCCCATAACACCTTTATTTACAACACTCAAAGATAACCGTCCCAAACGACGCTTTCAGTTGAATGCAGCCCGGAATCTATATCTATCAAGAAAATCAAAAAACCTTATTTTTTATTGATTAAATCATGATACGGATATCACCGTTCATTTAGTAACGATCAATGTTTCAGTTTCAGGAAAGTCTTTTAGACTTTATCTTTCATTTTCTAATCATTTTCTTGAATTTAGTAACACATATCTTCCTCGACATTAAATTTTGTCGAGTTCCGCATCAAAGTGCAAAAAGGCTAGGGTTCGAATCGTTATTTTTAGATCGGTTCTCGGTAGACGAGTCAACGTTGGTCATAATCAGCTCGAAGAAACAAGGCAAAAAGGTATGATCTTTACAACTCCCGAATTGAATCAAATTTCCGAAATGAAATAACCCAGGAACAGATTTCTTTCTGTGAATGTTTGTTTTTACTGTGAATCGAGCTAAATTGCCAAAAATAATAAAATAATTCTCTGACTCACAACTTTTCCCTGAACATCGTTACATGTGAATCATAGTCTGACAAGGATGGCGAATATTACATTACATTATATACGAATATACATTCTAAAAACCACCATAGGGCGTTTTCGTCGAAGTGGCACTTTGAGATTTATATCATTTGTCAAATCAAAACTCACTTGTTCTATATCATCATGGTAATAGAAAAGATGTTTATCCATTCACAAGAAATGTTTTGACTCGAAAATTGAACTCCGGCTGGTGGTAACGTATATTGACAAATATCTGCAGTTTTGCCGCTATGTTTATTGCTAAGTTTATATATTGAGCAACAAACTTTTTTTACAATAATTCATTGCTTACTAAATAATGATTATTTCAGATCAAATTTCTTTGATGTAAATGACCTGGAAAAGTACAGGACGGGTACCGGCGGTGACTTTTAATAGGTTTGTAGGGCTATGCATATTTCACTCTGTCAATACAGGGATTATATACAGATAAAGCCCTCTTCCAGCATTTACAATTAAACTATTACTTCGAGCTGTCGTTCAGTTCTCTGGCTCGACCCCAAAGCCCTAAAGAGTAGTTGTAAGTGAGCCTTTCATTTTCTGTTTCGAGTTGTGATTTGATGGAAGTGTAAATGTCCTTGCTTTCTAAAAAGCACACGAGTAGTGGTAATCTTTCTCAACTGACTTCAGTCTTGTAATTAGAATATGATGTAAAGAAAGGTCATTACCTATCTTATCAATGTACCAACGTCAATCTTTTTTCGGTAGTATTTTCCTTTCTATTGATGACGAGTGGTGTTTAACTGTTTTCATCATCATAAACTATGTTTAGCTGGCTTGCAAATATGCTTCGTATCTTTGATGCTTTCAGTGATGTTTCGTAGTGGACATTCATCTTCATCAGTGATTATTCCTCACTTTTCTCATTTGAGTACAAACTATATGAGTTTATATGGGTCAGTTTTGCTTTTATTTGTCGGTTTGAGACATCACGAATTTAAACAAATTCAAAGTTCATATCATCGAATCGCTTCAAGCCCACCATTGAAAAGACGATCAATATTGAAATAAATGTCTGTAGTGTTCTAGTATGAACCCCTGGTATAGAATCAATCATTACTAATCTGTTTATCCATGATCCCATGGCAGCAAGAAACTCCCGCATATCCGTATGGTATCAATCATAGGTGATTACCGAATTCTTTTGTGCGAAAAGATATCGAGATTTTTCATACTCACGACGCATGCTCATTTTTCTGTGTTCAATCTCATTACCGGATTCATATTCGCACTGCGCATGCTTGGTAATTATGGCGGCCCTGGGAAGGTGATCTTCGCATAAAAGTAGTTTTTGAGCTTTCGAGTTCAAGAATTTGCAATCATTTAAGGATTTGAAGGAAAGCGGCAGCTTGTGTGAGCACTAAGTTCATGCTCGATTAAATCGCGTGTTCATTAAGTACTTTAATTAAGTAGGTACTGTTAGAACGATATTGACCGACCTAATTGACACTAGAAACCTTTTGTCGATGTAATTGTTTGCGCAAATGATAAAACAACCCAAAAATGTTAATATCAATCATAGACTGGTAACTTTGCAAGTCACTTAGTTGAAACGAGCGAGTGAGTCGACGATGGACCCTTAAGAAGAAGTACTTTTTTAAAAGTGCTTAAAAGCAATGAAATTCCACGTCAGAAACCGACCTTAAGTCAATCGATTTTTTGGTCTGACAAAAGATCCTGTCCGCGCCTCGCAAAGGTTCATGGTAAAATTGATGAGGAAATGCCAGTAACAACGGACTGAGGGCATCCATGACAGAGTTTCCTGTATTTCAGTACAATTGTGATATGCAAGTTCCGGTTCTTGCATAGTTTGAATATCTGTAGTTAATTAAAAAGACATCAGCTAATCCCCACCTCGCGGTAGACAAATATTAACTTGTTGAAAAAGACCTGTCGCTTACAGTACCTCACCCACGTTAAGAAATTACTTCTGTCTGGTTCTGATGAACGGAAAGGACCGACCCTGACATGGAGCAAGCGGTGATAAAGGGATTTCATTTAATGTATTTCGTTTTCTTCAAATCCATTGACTACAATCACAATACTGAATGAGTTGCGTGCCGATTGGAACAAGTATTTTCATCAGACGAAGTGTTAACAAGGACCGTCTCCTTGGCCTTGTGATCTTCATACTTCTAGAAACTACAACATGCAGTACCATCAACTCGTACTTTAAATCACGCAAGGTCTTGTATGACTTCACTGAAGGAGAGAATTAATGAGCTAAGCACGCTTCACAAGCACTGTTACTAGAACCATAATCACTTTTTCTCATAAACTGTTTGTCTTACGTACAATTACTAACACCGCAAAACAATTGCCATGCCGAGGTCATTCCTCGMGTCAAAGAGAGAGCGGAAGGAAAAGGAAACTCGTCCTGTAATGACTGACAAACTAAAAGACGTATTACATGGGGACGTGAGAGGGCGGATAACACCATGACAAAAATACCCCTAGCAAAAATGGCTTGTATAACACTAGTAATTACAAGGTTTTTAGTATTTCAAATGTTACATTATTTATCTACAATATCATTGAGTTATAACTAAATAAGGCTAATATTATTCTGAGCACAAACTGTAATTGTCCATACGTTTTTAGTCTCAATGTCCTTTGAACGGGTGCTTCGAATCCTTTCACGAACTAGACATTAGATAGCAACAGTCCATTTTGTCCTGTTGGTATCCCTTTGCTACCGGGAAAACAGGAAGTCAAAGGCATAGCAACGGTAGAAAGAAGACATGGAAAGGAAGAGAGAAGCCTGTGGAGGAGGATGGGAAAGATGGACACAAACTATCCTATAATTTGAAGTAAAATTACTACAAGTCAGCTGTGAAAGAGTTAAAGCTTGTTCCGGAACAATTAAGCGGTTGGGGCGTTCAGGCTTGGTACTTGATTTCAGTGACTCCTTCCCATAACATCCCGTGATCCTCTCTACCACATCAGGATAGTCATCGACTCGAATGTTAATGTTAGAACTTTGCCTGCTTGTCTGATCAATTAAAAAATTGTATTTGTTGGAAAGTCAACTAAACGCAAAACTAAATGGGCGTGATTTTGTGGTCTGTCAGTTACTCTTTGTGAATTCAAGTGATACCAATACAAAAAATTAGTAACATCTATTTCACCTGCTAGAGCATCGGCAGTATACAAATGTAAAAGTCGTTGGTTCGAATCCCAGCGAAGAAGACGGAAAAAAAATTTTCCGAATTTATTTCCAAGGGTCTTTTGGAATAACCAGGAATAACCTCCTTCTAAGCACTATAACTTTCCTTAATTTAAATTTCAGCTTAGTGTTAACATACTTATGCTTTGTTCTGTTTCTAGTCTAGAAAGAGCAAGACGACTAGGTAAACAGCTGTATACACAATGTGCGAAGTTTGTGAATACTATAGACAAGACTCTTGAGCCGTTCGGTTATATGTTAATTTTACAGTATTACATGTATTATATATACCTAGTGTACTCACCTTCCCCTCCCCCTCGACTCATTGAACGAAAATACAATACTTGCATGCATATATACTCATTAGCATATAAAAAGAGTTCGTCAATTACTAGCAATTATTCGCTACAACCTGTCAGACCGTGGAATGATCCATCATCAAATAGCGGGGACTCTCTTTCACGACACAACACGTAATTTCAACGAGAAAATTAAAAAAACCGCAGGTGAATTGAACAAACAACAAGAGTTTTCTATTCATTGCACATTGAATTTCATCCCGAGTTGACTTCACATTATTGACGGTAAGAATACAAATCAACTTTCTAATAGAACTTATGCCTTTTTATTTTTTTTCCCTGCAGACCAAGATTGGTTATGTTATTAGAGCTATCCGAACACTTAGCAGCTAATTCGATTGCCAAACCTAAATCTGATAAATCCAGTCAATCTAACATTCTAGAGCAATATCAGGCAAAGAACATGCCATATACTACCATACTCTTTATTACCATTGATTGTCAGTTTCTTTGAACATGTCAATAGAATAATAATCGTTCTAATCTTTTCTTTACTATTCTATATGCATTTTCTTATAAAAACACTTACTCGTCAAGTAGAGTAATAATACAGTCAAATGACTACTTTTTAATTAACGACTAAAGGCAAACTTATCTTTTTATAGCTTAAAACTTCTCCTCCGAGAAAACAAATATCTAATCATTTTATTGAAAATTTGAAGACTAAAAAGTCATTGACAAAGAAAAAAGGGAAGTGAGTGAACATGAAACACAAAACCAAAATCTCAACATCCCTTTTAGTTTTTATCGTTTCACTCATGACAAAGAGATCATAATGTGTATAAGTCCAATAATGGTCAATTCTGTACAGACGGGTCTGTCAATGAGAAGAAATACATTAAATGGCGAAAATTCACCTGTACAGGAAAAATAATCGAACTATATTTTTTTTTTTTTACTCTTCATTATTTAGTTTTTTGTCACAAATTGCAGTGTATGTGTTAATCGTGTAATTTCTGGTGATAACGTGACTAAAGCGCTTTTGTTCATTGTATTTCTGCGATTCTTTCGACCATTTCATTAGTTAGTATACGTTTTTGCCGGAAACAGCTTAACTTGATTGTCAACTAGTTGCTCAAATGTACAAAATTAGACAAAAAGCAATACTGATTCATTATGTTCCTGAATTGTCTGTACTTCGAAAGTAAACACCAACAAGTCATGTTTTCTTTTCGATACTACAAGATAGCTGTATCGAAACAGACTTATTTACTGGTTTGAAACTGTTGACAAGATACAACCAACTCTTCGTCGTATTTTTTCGCCGAACAAAAACAAGCTGCTTTAGTTTACTACCGTTTTATTGTAGGTCAGTATTTGGTTTGGAATAGAGTCGTTTTCCGACATTTGACCGTGCAATGAAAACGAATAATGCAAAACAATACACTAAGAGTGCGATACTAACTATTAATCTCATTCAAATTAAAACGACTCTATCATTTATAATCACTTACAATCTATTGAGGATGTTAACAAAACCTTTTAAAGGGTGCTTTTTACTATTTTCAGACGCAAACAAGATGGCTACTACCAATCATTCATTTCCAGTTTGTTTATTTCGAACCGATACATTCTTAACCGTCCTTGCATCGTTTGCTGAGGATAGAGAGTTTCGTCTATTAGCTACAATTCCTGCTGCAGTTTTATCTCCATTGATAGTTTGTAGTAATGGTCTCGTATTAGTATCCATAGTCAGGGCTACTCTACCAATCAAGACATCAACCATTTCTCTCATTTGTTGTTTATTATGTTCTGACTGTCTGGTTGGTATGGTCTTCCTTCCTTTGTACGCTACGTGGACCATGAAAGATCACGCTTTGAGGTCGTGTGCGATAACTGGAAGCTTACTGTTCGTAGGTTGGTTTATCACAACCATCTCGTTCCTGACTATCATTGCAGTAAGTTGTGATAGATACATTGCATTATTTCATTCCTTTAACTATAAATCCATTGTTACTTCCACAAGAACAAAAAAGCTTATCTTTGCAATATGCCTGTTTTCCGCTGTTCAAAGCAGTATGTCATTACACCACTACCTTGCCTTGGCTCAGTACGTTTTACTTGGTTGTCTGCTCGTGTTTGGGTTGTTTGTCCTCGTGTTTGCGTACACGAGGATCTTTAAACTAGTACGTCATCATCATCGTCAAATTAATTCACATCAGGTCGTTCAAAATGATCGTACACGTCAAACTAAACTCGCTATAACCATGTCGTATGTCATCGGTGTTACATTACTTTGTTATATGCCATTTGGTATCGCTTTAGCGGTTCTCTTGGTGCAAGGCAAATTCTCAAACACCTCATTCAAGTTTTTCCACATCAGCGAATTGTTCTTTTGCATAAGTTCTCTATGTAATCCCGTAATTTACTGCATTAGAAATCTTGAGATACGAACTGCAGTTGTTGTACTTATAAGAGATATGAACCTGTTTGATGACACTAAGCAAAATGACCACCATAAGCCAACATCTCCTGCAACAATCACACTGAAAAAAGACCCCACCCCAGCACAGAGTGCTGTAATGGTCGAAATATCCTGAAAAAATACATGGCTAATGGCAATTGTCAGAGTAATGAACCTTTTTTAATGACACTAAGCAAGATGACCACCATAAGCCAACATCTCCTGAAACAATCACACTGAAAAAAGACCCCACCCCAGCACAGAGTGCTGTAATGGTCGAAATATCCTGAAAAAATACATGGCTAATGGCAATTGTCAGAGTAATGAACCTTTTTTAATGACACTAAGCAAGATGACCACCATAAGCCAACATCTCCTGCAACAATCACACTGAAAAAAGACCCCACCCCAGRACAGAGTGCTGTAAGGTCAAAATATCCTGAAAAAAATAGTTTTTAAACTAGAAAAGTTTTAACTTTTAAAAACTTTTAGGGTAGGAAAAAGTGATTGGTAGAACAAGTAGTCGGGTAGAACAGATTGCAGTAGGTCTGAAATACTAGATACTTCTTCAGCAGTGTGAGGACTAAGCAACATCCTAAAGAGACTAAAGACATGAAATATGTGCACGTTAGATATTGCTTTGTTACATATTGATCAGCGGACGACTTCAAAACACTTGCATGTTTTGAATTGCTGCAATCATTGCTGCACTGTTTAGAAAATATACAGATACGATGAAGAAATACACGAATGCCCTTACTAATAATACAATTGTCAACCGGTTTCAATCAATATGGCGGACTCATCTCTCACGCAATTTTAAAAGGAAACAGGACAGAACCACGAAGCTCGTAGAGAACTAGAAGAAGAAGGGGACCATGCATTTACTTTAGCAGTTTTTACTTCTACTTGGATTGACTGGTAAAAGGCCATTAAGCAAATATATAATTTCGCCGAGTATAAATACAATTTGCTGATGAGCTGAGAGTTATGCAAGCACATTCCAATAGTTGCTCTTTTCTCCATGTCGCTTGTTTCTTCTCTTGCTGTTGTGTTTCCTGTCAAGGCTATCTTATCACAGATGTCATGGATGCTTCTTCGCCAAATTTGGTCTCATTGTTACTGGAAATACTCTAGAGAATCAACCCAATATTGAATATTACAAACTCAGTGTTGATGTGAATATCGAATGCTTTCCATACATGTATAAGCCCTCTTCGCTCATTTCCCAGTATTTCAGGGTACCCATTTTCATGTCCAAACACCTGTTTGGTGAAATTATAGATAGAGTTGTGTAAAAAGAACKGACTGACTAAACAATCAATGCATGTAACCTACTATATATGCTAGTATGCAGTAAAAGATCAGTTTCTACAAACAACAGTGATTAACGGATTAAACGATGTACACAACAAGACTGGCTACAAATGGCTTCTATCTATTAATTAGGTTTGACTAAATAAAGTCTTTAATCTGATTGTTTTGATAGAGACGCTGTTCGGAGACACCAAGGCGCCGGTTTAGGAGTCGCTTTTCACACATTTGCTGACTCTTCGATTAAAAGCTTTCACTTCAAAAATGACTTTAATTACGTTAATGAATTAATTGAATAGCTTGTCAGGTGAATTTGTGCAGGTCATTACAGGTTACCGCAATGTTGTGACTCACAACACCTCTACACAAGGGTGCTTGCTCTGGAAAGGGTTCTTTTAATGTCCTCCTATGATAGACAGCAGATTTGCGTACAAACAAACCACGTTTAAAGTTACAGTTGAGGAAATATTCTTTCAATTTTTAATTTGAACATGAAACTTGTTGCACAAGAAAGGCATGGCAGACAAGAACATGTCTTCACAGCCATCTGCATAGTGACAAATTAAGCGTGATTGAAGCCGCATCACTTGATTGGTGGATGTTAACGAAGAATACCTCCCATTTGATCAAACGATAAAACAGCCCGTTGTCAGGATCTTTGCCTTCATGATTTATAGGCCTTGATTGGGCTGGCGGAGCCTATCGTCCTGTGCAATACAACTAGCCAATCACAATAGCGCAAGAAAACCCTTCTGGTGTTACACCATCAATCTTGTTTCGGTAAAATGTCAGTTTGCAGTGTCTCAGCCAATCAGTGAGGCAGCGACTGACGTAGGTCACCACATCCCTTCTAATTAGCAACGTCTGTAGCAAAACCCAGTAATCCGATAAGATTGAAAAAATTCTAAAATCATTCTCAGTGCTATGCCAACTCTAGAGATGCAAAATAACGGTATTTCGTTTTCGATTGACTCGATAATATCGCGAAAAGACCCACCAAAAGAAGCCAACCACTTAAAGCCACTCATCCAATGTAACACACGAATACGACCAGTTTCTGACGTCCGACCTGAACAAATACTTACAAACTACAGCGATAATTGCCTGGACCCTACAAGAGACTTTATACAGATAGAAAACAACGAAAAATCCACACTACAGAATTCAGAAGAAAGTCCATCAAGTCTTGGACATGAAGGAAGTACCGTAGATTCTCATTTGAGTAAGTATTAAGTCTTAAGCCTTCTTTCAACCACGCCGTTTAGAGGGAAAAAATACCCCAATTGTAGTTTATGTTTACTACGAGTATATATTTAATATTGAGTTCTTAAACTAGTTATGATAACATTCTACATGGATTGAATCTTGCTCTTTATGACATTCGCCATGAGTTTTGTATCGACCAATGAAACATTGGCCATAAATCATGGACTTGACACTTCCAAATAAACGTCCATACTCTTTGCTCATGTTTCACTTTGGTGTTTCTAGTCAGAATTTAGTTCACTTGAAATACTGATCACTGTAATGATTTCTGTTCCTTCATCAGGCACCAAAGAAAACGAAGGATGCTCGTCAGGAAACGAGGGCGATGAAGATTGCAACGACTCTTCGAAACAACGTCGCAAACGCACGGCTTTTACTAGTCAACAACTACTAGAATTAGAAAGAGAGTTTTACAACAAGAAGTATGTTTCTTTAGAAGAAAGATCACAAATAGCTACGAACTTAAAGTTATCTGAAGTACAAGTTAAAATATGGTTTCAAAATCGTCGAGCTAAATGGAAACGGGTTCGATCTGTTGGCCATCCTGCGCATGGTAATAGAAAGATGAACACTCCGAAATTAGTCGTACCTATTCCTATCCACGGAAACCGTTTTGCAGCTATGAACAATATGAATTCCACAGCGTAAAGATGCGAGGTATTTTGATGTACATATTACAGAAAGTTCAGAGATCCTCTTTCACGGACTTTGATTACGAACTCTTTCTACAAACATTGATCAACTTTGATCATTTTTCATGAAATTATACTAAATATGTATAGAGACTTGAATGTCTACTCCAAAATGTTCGTTGAATATCATATAGGATGTTTCCTTTAATCGAGCTGTATCATAAATATATTGATTTTTACAATGAAARGTGGCTTTTGCTATGGATATTCTCCTAACAAGACTAGTAAAGTGTCATAAGCTACAGTAAAGTATTCCACTTTATGATTTCTCTGGTTTTCTTTTGGCATTTGCTTCGTCAGATAACTAACATCAGGTTTTTGATCTTCGTTAGTGCTTTACCTGCTCATTGTCTTCATTTTACGTTAAAGTTTTATTTGTATGTGCAGAATTCGGCAGTTATTGTGTGGCTTGTCTCAGTGTTTTCACACTTACAAGGTGCCTAAGCGTCTGTGAGGATACTGATATTTAGACAAACGTGTTAGGGTGTGAAATACATCTTGTTTTCCTCGTTTGCTAAAAGATTACGACACAAAACATGCTCCATTACTAATGTACATTGATATAAAATGATGAACGCTTGGTAAACCAGGCAGAACCATAAGGTATGTACTAGTATTTAAAGTGTTGTTAAGAAAGACAATGTTACATTGTAATAGCTACAAAGAGTTTGGCATCCAAAGCAGTTGAATTAAACGTTTACTGTTGACATGTGCGCAATCCMTTGAATATTCACAATGAAAGTCTAATATTTGATTTGTAAATGTTCTGGCTGAGCAGACTATTATTGCCATATACTGTATGGACATTTAGTAGGATAAAAACCACATGATGCTGGCTAAATAACAAGATAAGACTGTAGTCATTTATGCATAGTCCATTTATAAGAACAAGAAACATTTAATTGATTTTCAATTAGTGGTTTATAATGCAACATTGATCAAACTATTCAAAAGAACAATTAAATCCTCTGAATCGTGAATATAGAGCTTTGAATTTCTGCTTAACTTCATTCATTGATTACTTTGTGTTTTTGGTCACTAAATCCAGGCTGTTTTTCAATTCCCCGCCAATTCTTAAAGGTATTTGCGACCATACTAGATCCGGGATTATTTTGTGTGTWKTTTATAACTACACGTTCGGGGTTTTATTTGGAAAGCTAACAAGTGAGTAAGTAAGTAATTTTTTCACGGCRAAAGTTATTAAATAAATAARTGCTGTTTCAATGCTGGAAGTATGTTGAAGGATTCATAAAAAATATGCGAGATTGCGGAGGTTTATTTACAAAGCGTTTGATGCAAGACRTAGAGAGAATCATTGTTTTCTTGTCRAGTGATGCAGTCARWGGTGGTTTTTCATTCATCACATGAATGCAAGGAAAACCAAATGATTTGTTGTTTTAAAATATTATTATCGATATCTTGTATTCTTTTAGATGTTCAGGTATGAATGCCTCGAGGCTTGTATAACACTTTGTCAGTGTTTTGACACAAAGACACCAAGTCATCATGTGTTTTCCTGCTATATTATTTTAATATTGTAAAGGTACATGTACTTATTGATCAACACATGATGATTCAGTTTGTTACTTATTTTAAACGCAGCCATAGCGTTCATAATAATAAAATGAGGGGTGAAAATGTAATCTGGTAATCTTCTTGTAAAAAAATGTCTGTAAATCATCACACCTCATCATGTCAGCCACAATCCAATTACTGAATAACATTCAGCAGCAAAAATCCTGTTTTCATGGTCGGTCTAACAAAAAAACATATCTTTACATTGACTATAACCAGACTCTATGTGACTGACTTGATAATCGTTAGTTGCGGTCATCACGAATATATTTTAAAAAGTAAAGTATAACCATTTGTTTAATCTTTTAATCAGATAAGACAGTTATTTCATCTTTACTTTTCCATTGGCTGCTTTTCCGATTAACTGGATTATCCCATACTGCATCTKGTTTTAAAATACGTYSCTGAACTTGATTTRACTCGTAAGTCTTATCTATTATAAATATGTCTTGATATGCATGGTAGTAGAATGCATTCGTCAAGGCTGTTCCACCTTATGTACCAGCACAACATAGTTTTGAGCTCATTGAATATAAATATCCATGACGACAACAACGAAAGAAAAACACCTCTAAACCACTTTTGTTTTGCGCTGACTGGATCTTGGTTGATAAAATGATGGAGCTATCTATCATTGAGTAATAATCCTAGTCCATGGTAGACTTTGAGACGCCACTGCTTACTCTGTTCACACCTCTAYGGCCGACAGTGCTAACATGTTCACGCCCATTGACGGTGCTTTTGACACATATGATCCCAGCAGTAAAGCAACTATTGCACCCTGACTATTTGATTTTGTTTAGCATAATCTAACATCGATTGATGAAGCCCTTACTTGACAGCATACCAAGTAAATTGTACACTGAATACTGCGCTGGAAACATCACGAAGTGCTATGGAAATAGGTACAGCAAAAACGCCAATTTTTTTGCTTCTCTTGTCAGAATGCCGTAATAAGATTAGGAAATCCCTCAAATATGTTATAACTTGATACACAAGAATAGAAGATCAAAAGTTGAAATATAAAAATATTGCAGCAACGAAGACGCGTTTATAATATGTGTCATCTTGTAGGTAATAATGTAAAGAATATCTTTCACATCACATCGATTTGACTGGCACACAAACCGGCCGCTGTGTAGCGAGGGGGTCGTCCTTAGATGATTCCACTTCTAACTGTACAAAGCATAGACTGAAGTCAGACCGTAAGAACGAAGTGGTATGAATCGTCCAATGGATTTCCATGAAGGGTGAAGCTTTCGGCATCTACCATGCTTTAGCGTTTACTTRTCTATTTGGAGACACACTGTCAGTCCTTTGAATTACTTGAAAATRTAGCAGTGGTACTCAACAAACCTTTTAGAGTTGAAAATAATACCCTTGTGGTCGTTGGGTCTCGAACTGACTTCGTACTTTTTATATACAGTTTTCAAAGAAAGATACAGAATGGACTGGTGCTATATATCGTGTTAGTCAAGTGTTTCAAAGGACATAATCAGCATTAAAAAAGTAGTTACTATATTTTCTTTTTTCCTTTTGATTGACTAATGCATTTCTTTTTCAGTAAACCCTCAAAAACGTTCTTTCCACACAGGTGCTACTGAAATCTTGAGTCTTTGGTACATCAATATATCCATGTTACTGATACCCTCAATATTTGGCAACAAAACTGTTGTCTGGGAGAAGAGAAGAAGTAAATGGGCTCTCAAATGAGCTTCCTGTCTTCATGTTCCATGTCAGTATCTGACAAGGTAGCAGAAACCTGACAGATCAGGCATGATTTGGTTTCAGTACCTTTATTCCTAAGGTATCCTGAATATTGCAAATAAGTATAATTTTGTTGGTATTTTGCATTTCAGTATTCCCCATTAGGTCTCCTTAGTGTCTTCAGTCCAAAAATAATATTGGGAGTCATGATACAAGCTGGCAAGTCTTATCCCAGAACATAGTAAAAGTATTCCCAGAATTAGATAATTATGTTACATTAACATCAGTACATCATGACAATGGTTTTAAGCATTCTCTTAAAACTGCATTGTCAAGGGCTTGGAGAAGTAATCTGGGTAGGAGTAAAACTAACACCTAGTATGCAAAATCCCCAGGCAACTGTCTCACCTGCCTCTTTGCAGCTACAGCTCTGACCAGGAGTAGTGTGCATACTGGTTTTACTAGTTGGTAGGGTCTCCTCTCGCAGCCGTTAGGACAGCCGTTCCCAGCATCCTAACGGCTGTGAGAGGACTTT